AACTATCTCAAAAAATAATAAAATAAAATAATACATTTAAAAATGATGTATGGAAAAAATAAAAGATAGATGGATAGGTAGAAAGATAGATAGATAAATAGATAAATAAATAAAGAGATAGATAGAGAGAGAGAGAGAGAGAGAGAGATTAAATGAGCGAGCTGGGCTGACATAATTGACAAAATTTAACTTGGGCTTTACTAAAAAAATAATAAAATAAAAGATTACGATTAAAAACGATATATAACAAAATAAAAGATAGATAGGCAGATAGATAGATATAGAGAGAGAAAGAGTGATAGGGTAGTCAGAGAAATGGGTAGACAGAAAGATGAAACATTTAAAACGTATGGTGGAGAAAGATTTTTAAAATTGTCTGAGTGTGTGTGCTTAGGTCAAGAGCAAAAAAAGAAAGAAAATATGTAGATTATTTACATAGGGTTTATTTGTAAATTGCAACAATTGATAATTGTCTTTTAAGTTGTAAGGGAATTATAAGCGAGTCCGTTGTCTTGGTATACAAGTACTCTTATATATACTATACTTATCTAACTTGGGCGAAAGTCGGTAGTTCCTAGGTTGGTGAAGTTCAATGAAGGGAAGGGCTGTTGTTGTTTTTTTTTTTTTTTTTTTTTCAGTATGAACGACAAATTCTATTTACAATAAATAGTTTTTTATATGTATGTAACTCCTGGTTATATGTGAAAACAATGAAATAAAACAAACTGATTTATGTTTTTAACTAAAAGTGTAATAGTTAACTCTACAAGAATGCAAGTCGGTAAAATATTATGTAGTACAAATCTAAATTATTTCAATACGACTAAAAACGAGGTACCCGTGCTGTTATTAACTTTCACCAAAGGTCTATTGAAATATCCGGAGGGAAAGGAATTCCCGAGAAAATGAAGGAAATTATTCATCTCGGAATTCAAATAAATGAAGGATTCATGGAGGGGTTGGGAGTATTCTGTTTAATTTTAATCATGCGGAGGCCCGATAGTTCCGTGACCGGACTTGGGTTACATAAATAAACTGGATGCAAACGTCTTGATAAAGTGATGATACGATGTTGGCGGTAATAAAAAGGCAAAATCATCCTCCTTCCAAAAACCGCGACCGAGGCAACGGGATATATTCACACCAACGATAATATGTTGATGCCGCTCTGATGATATCTTGATGACTCCTCCTACCACCAGTCGCAAAAGAGGTTCGCTCCTTGAATGTCAACAGCTGAATTATCCCTATCTATCATTCATCTGCACACGATCTGTCAATTCGATGTATACCAACGCATCAACACAATTAGTTTATAATATTCCTATTAGCATAGTTTGTAATAAATTGCAATATCATGCTCCCCCTCTCTCATTTTCTCTGTATCTCTCTCTCTCTCACTCTCACTATCTCTCTCTCTCTCGCTCTCTCGCTCTTTTACTTCATTTTAGATTTACTAAAAAATTGTCACACTAATAATTGCAATGCGAGGGTCGAGGAGTACTGCCCCTTTGATTGCATACTGAATTATTCAGTAAATAAGTGAAACAGAGTATTGGCGAAAGAAAAGCAAATAGCGTTGGATCGAATTTCAATTTGTTAGATCGTATATGTAAATTACGGCTTTTCAAATGTTGCTGTGATATGTATCATTTAAAAAGCATTCTGTAGTTGTAGAATAACTTAATACCAACTCATATTTTTTAACAAGCTATGTTTATTGGTAATTACTGAATAAAATATATCGACATAAAATGTTCGTACTATCGAACAACTCGGACTCGTAGGCTGAGTTCGAGTTTGTTAGGTCGAGAAGGTCCTTGATGTCAACTGCAGACGAGACCACCTCAAGCACCACTTCGGACGGTTCTTCGCTTCGGGATAAGAATAAAGAGTTGTTTTAATGTGATTGTTATGTTAATTAGACAAGAGAAAAACTAGAAACACTACCGTTAATTTGTCACGCGAATTTTTTTGTAGACCTTAGGTTATGATTTCGTTAACACGGTGTAAATAGATGATTACATCTACAAACATTATTGCAACTGGAATTAAACCATTAGACTGTAATTATAGAAAAATATTATTTTGTTCGGAGAAATTTGTGTTCTCATGAATAAATATCGTGTTTTATACAATAATAAATTCCAACACACCAAACCTGAGTTATATGAAATGGTGGAAACAATCGGCCCGATTTATACTGTTGGATCTGAGATCTTTTCGAATGGCCGAGTAACTTACACATTAGAGCTTATAACGGCAACAGAAGCAGTTTTCAAGGTGGGAACAAAGATCAACAAAAAAAGACCGTTTTCGTACAGTGGAAAAAAACCGAGAGCTTTCAATCGATGAGCAGCTAGCCCGATAGCAAACACAAGTGGACAAACATATCGACAGTAAAAGGTTTCGTATTTGAAAGCCTCCTCCCCCCCGCGAGAATATCAAATACAAAAAAATTAAATATAATTTATACGAAATTGTCACGAAAAGAGCAGAAAGTAGATAAAATAACGATTTTTTTTCTTCTCGCTCTTTTTTTCTTTTTATTCTTTTTCTCACTCTCGCCCGCCTCCTCACTGTCACTCTCTCTCTCTCTCACCTTCTCTCTCTCTCTCTCTCTCTCTCGAGAGAGAGAGAGAGAGAGAGAGAGAGAGAGAGAGAGCGACTTAAATTGCATGCAAATTTATAGATTACAAGTAGGAGTAAATATGTGCATGAGGTATATTTTAAATTTAAAATATGATGATCGCATACACGACAAATTTGCGCAGCTAGCAATTTTAAAAATAAAGTACATGTTGGATTATAAAATTCTATGTACCATGCTTAAAATAATGAAAACAAAAAAAACCCAGCATATACAGGGTGAATTGCTACTCGTGCTACAAACTTCTCCAGTAGATTCTTCACCCTAAAATGAACAAAAAAGTTCATATTGTCCATGGTCCGANATGTATCTTCATTTTGTTTTTGTTTTTTATCATACGGATAATGGTTAATTCTCGCAGTATGAGCCAATTACTGTTGATGACATTTTATAATATATTTATACTAAATTTTACCTAAAAAACACACTCATACAGATACAAAAATAATTTTTACAAATTCTCATCTTGTTTGAACGCTGGCTAATAAAATGCAAATAGTTGAGAACCTGATTTCCTTTTAATTAACATGACTCTTTCCCCGGTAGTTATATCAACGGGTTCAACTTAAGCCAATTTGTCTTAATTTGTTATCCGAAAGCTGCACGATTGAATCAATTCACATGAATCAACGGTAAACGAATTACCTGAGTAAACAATAAAATAAAACAATTAAAAGGTGATTATTCTGCTAATTAGATAATAACATAACCTCCAGCAAAAATAATTATGTTTTTTCAGTTTGTCTTTTTAAATTAATTAAGTTATTAAGAGTAATTTGGACTATTTCGTGTTTTAAAAGAATTACATGATTTACTTGTTTAACTCAGCATTTGTCACTAGATGTAGATTTAAATGATTAGTCAGGGTATAGTTTATACTGTTTCCTTTAAGAACTGTTGTATCCCCCGTTCTGTACTTATAGTACGCCATTAAGTCCTAGTTCATCAAGGAATTTAATTAGTAGGCCTGGCTTCAGTGGGTGAATTTATTCTGTAGTAACATTGTACGTCCCTAAGCACTTCCTCCTGTGGGCAGGTGTAACACCACAGTTTGTGAATAGGTGTGTTGGCGTTTCCTCTGCTTCTTTGCAGAATCTGCACTTGCAGGGTTGGGTTATGCCATTCTTCTTCAAAAGTTCATTTAGTTTATAGTGTCCCGTAAGGATTCGTATTTTTTTCCTGCTTCCCTTATTACATTCTGTTACTTCTTTCCTTCCAATATTTGCAAGGAGGTTTATGGCAAATGAGCGAGTTCCATTGTTCCTATATTTTCATTTTATCCTTCTGTCTGAGGTTCTCATTGATATTGTTGGTTCCTATTGAAGGGTTTGGGTCCTATCAGCAGTAAAATAGCCCCTTTTTTTGCAAGGGTGTCCGCTTTCTTGTTGTCTTCTGATTCTACTCTTGGGACCCAGCAGAGGCTTATTTGTCACTCATTTTTTAACCTGTTAGACAAATCATTGTCCATTCAAATAAGGAAACAAATTTTTAATTGAAAGACTTTAATTAATCTGTACTACAAGAAATACACCGTCAAAGTCCAATTAACCAAAATAAATCAAATTTTAGTTATTAATTTTATGTGCTTTCAGTTATTAGGATGATTATTCAAAACCTTGTCTTAGAATTTACCAAAATCCCCCCAAAAAAAAGTTTAGTTTGTGGTTAACTATAATATGACATTATTTAAATAAACAATTGATAGTTAATTATAAAAGGAAACTGGAAACATTTGAATAAATTGTCGTCGAGAATCCAATCCGATTACACGACATTTGAAAAATGGCAAAAAGGAGGGAAAATTCAAAAGGTCGGTTGAGATGGGAAGTTGGTGTCCGAGCGGATCGAAGCTGCGACAGCTCAAGTGGTAGAGCAACGGCATATCAAGCCGTAGATCGTGGGTTCGAATCCCGCTCGGCCATTAACTTTTTTTTCATCTCAACTAAAAACCTTAATTAATTGTAATATATTATAATTGGTCAAGCGGACCACGAAATTAGTGAATTTAATGATTTAAAATGAAGTACACTTCACTAAAGCTCTCCGTGGCCACTTCATAAGTCGCTGAGAATCCAATCCTGTTTACATGACATTTGAAAATGGCAAAAAGAGGGAAAATTCGAACGTTTGTAGGTTGAGATGGGAATTTGGTGTCCGAGTGGATCGAGGCCACGATAGCTCAAGTGGTAGAGCAGCGGCGTATCTAGCCGTAGATCGTGGGTTCGAATCCCGCTCGTGCCATTGACTTTTTTATCTCAACAAAAAACCTTAATTAATTGTAATATATTAATTGGTCAAGCGCACCACGAAATTAGTGAATTTGAATAAACGTCATGTTTGTTACTTTTAGGGAAAAGCTGCAGCAGCCTGGGCAGAAAGAGATAGACGAGCATCAGAAGCAGCGGTTAGCCACAGGGCAAGACATCATGACCCACATAGAAGATGGATATCAAGAAATAGAGTAAAGCCTTTTTTTATATTGAAAAATTTTAAATTTAAATTTTGCAAAAAAAAATTTCATTTGCAGAATTGTATTTATGTGAAAAATCTAATTTTTGGAGTCATATCATCAATAATAATAGAATCAATTATGTAATTAATAATATAAAAAAATATTTTGTTTTTAGATTCATGATTCTTCATATGGGGGAAGTAGCTCTGAGGAGGAAGAAGGACCAGGTTTGTATGGACATCAAAGCGCTGCAGCAAACGCTCTCCTTTATGTTGGTTTGGGGACAGTTGCAATCGGCCTGGTCATAGCCTTCGTTGGTACTGGTGAAAAAGGTTTTAAAACATTAGAACTAAGGCTTATTGGGCCAACACTGATAGCTGGTGGCCTTTTGTGCTGTCTCCTTCGTATATTACTCTGCGTCTGTCCTACAAGATGTTTGAAGCGTAAATTCAGACAACGTAGGAAAAAGCGACATATATCCGCTGAGTTAAATAGACATTTTGATAAAAACGATTATTACCGACACTTGCCTTTCAATGCAAGAACCGCTGAAGATTTCATGCTCATGGAGCAGACCAATAAGAAGACAAAGAAGAGAGTCTCAATTCTACCGGCTGTGGCATCAACGTCCGAAAGAAGGGAAATACCAAAGATAATGTTGCCCAATATTGAACAGTCTCCAGCAAAAGAAGGAAATCTCATCGAATTGAAGCCCATACAGGGAGGGAGCTTTGAAGACCTTCCAAGTATTAGCAGTGATGACAGTTTCAACTTAGATCAGAGCCTTGCACTTTTTGACAGCAAAGGAGGAGCTAATTCAACCGAACGATTAGCTCGACTCAAATCAACACTTACCTTTGGTGATTCTCTTGATGCAGGGGACTTCAACACGAGAGATCATGTTGTTTCACGAATAGATGAGGAAGACTCTGAACATATGGACTTTTATTCTAATCAAGGTAATTTGAATTCACCACTACTATTTCAACATCAAAACGACAGTGAGCAAGAAGCAAAAGAACTTGTACTAAGTCCTTCTAATCTTCAAAATGATTAATTTCAGGTTATGTCAATACATTTGGACAGAAATTTAATTAATTATTTATATTTTAAATTTATATTTTTTAATTCTATTTAAAACTGAACATAAATGAAAGTTTAGTCTTCCATATTTTATGTGTACATCTTCCAAAATATTTTAAATTACTTATTAAGTTAACGCCTTTCAAAACATTTTATAAGAAATCACCCACGTCCAAATGAATTGTTTAAACAATAAAATAAGTCAGACAAATATGGAAAATGCAGTTGATACAATTGTGAATAATACATTACTGAAATGTTTAGTACTCATTGAAGCAAATGGAAAAATTACATCAATCTTTATTTTGAGTAATATATTTTTGTATGAAAAAATTCCCAATTTCTTATCATTTTCTTTTGTTTAATCGCCTGTCGCCATTTTCATTTTCATCTAGCCTTGGGTAATTATTAATATAACATAATTTCAGTTAGATATTTTGTTTGCACTTTTAAAAATCATGGTTTTTTCCTAAATGCTTAGGGTGTGAACAGTATATATTTTTATAATCATTCATATTAGCTAAACATTTGACAATTGTTCACTTTCATTTTTAAACAGACAAATTAAAAATCACTCGCAATTTTAAAAAAATTTAAGACAATCAATTGTTTTTCATATACAATTTTTAAGAGATTTGATAGTAAATATTAAAGAAAGTAACATTCAACTTTAAAATACAAATATAAAATGTAACTTTATTCCACTACAATTATGTTGAACCATCCTATATGCTTTATTTAGCATTTCCTCGAAATAAAAAAAAAACCATGAACTCAATTATAGTTTTATCAAACCTATTTTAATAAAAAATCACCAATGTTTGAAAATCATTTGTTAATTTTCATTTTGTACAGGATTTTTTTCTATTCAAGCATATCATGTTTCAGATGGAAAAACTCAATCATTTAAACCACGATCATCCATGGGAATTCTTTCACCTGCATGATTTCTATGTATTAAATATATTTTCCCATTTGAATTAAGTTATTTGTTATTTTAAAAAATGCATTTAAACGTACAACGTACCAGAACTGTCATTAGAAATGTGCGACAGATGTTTAACATAATTTTATACTGCATTTAACTCCATTCATATGCCTTGACTTAGCAAGTAAGCATTTCTTTTTTTTTATATATATATTTATTTATTTTTTAAATAAAATATAAATTACAAAACAAAAAAACAAATATGAAATAAAATCATTCTTTGAAGTTGCAATAGAAATATAAATTAATTCCTCCTTTTTTCTGTAATAATTTTTGTTATTAAATACATTTTGTTTTTTTATGACGAATGTTGAATAATAATAATTAATATATTTATTCGTATATAATATATAAATCATACATTTAACACCAATATGTGAAATGCAGAAGTACGATTTCATACTCTTTTTAAGAAAATACACTATTTTAATACAAACATCAATTATTTTATTCATATAAAATTAATTTATGATTACAATCAAATTTTTACATATACGTAAATCAATTTAAAAAATTGTGTTTGTGTGTGCTAATTTCTAAAGAAGAAGAAAAAGTTGAGAGACAAAAGCATTTACGTTTATTTATTTCAAGTTTAAGTGTTTTTATTAAAATGATCTACATGACAGTTTAAAAAAATTATTTTATATAAACAACCTTTTAGAAAATACTTATTTTTGTTTATAAAAGGTTGCTACTTCAATGTGGCAATGATTAAGAGCACATTTTATAATGGAAAATATAAGGAAACAACTCATTTTATTTAATCACCTTTTTACAGGTGAAATTTATTTTTATTATTGGTAAATAGTAGTGTTATTTATTTTTATATTTAATTTGTTACGCTGTATTCTTTTTTGAAGTAATGCAACTGCATATACAATTGTGAATTTGTTCAATTTTATATACTTCGTTCCGGGAGAAACATGCCTTAAAACTCTCCCTGTATAAAATATTGTATATTAATTGTTCAAAAATTATGGATGGGGGTTAGAAATGCTCCTTAACAAGGAGTTTTTCTGTCTAAACTCAGCATGTGTAAATAAAAGTAATTTATAAACTATGATAAATTAAATAAATTAAGTGAAAAATATGTTATAAATGATTTATAAATAATATTGTGCTATAGTTGTAATAAACACAATGTTTTTATCATGAATTCTAAGAATTCAACATTAACGTCACAATTTTGAGAGAAAAATAAAACAATATTTAGTCGCCATTGAATAATACAAAGTTAATAAATATCCCCTAGAACACATGAACCAAAAGCTGAAATTGTTAGAGCTTGTTTATTTATAATAAAATGAGACATTTGAATCTATATATATGCAAATTGCAATTTAGATTTTGTATTTTTTTAATTTTTGATTTTCCATACAAAAGGGAAACTGATAAATCAATCCAAAACTTAATGTATTTTCTTTCGACAAGTACAAAGAATTGAGAATTTGTAAAGAAAAAAATAATTTATTCTGATGATTAATCAATAAGTAGGCTGCAATTTATAAGCAAATTAGAATATATCCTATGATGTTATTTTATCAACCACAATTTTCTATATAATAAATATATACAGTAAAAATAACACCAATAAATTTAAACATTTTCAATTTTTTCAGGTATGTAGCTTGAACATACTGTGATAACTACAAAATTACTCAAACAGATTTTCAAATCTTTGTGCTATATTTTTTACTGTTAGATTTTTTAAGAAATAGTAGATAAACTGTGTTGATGTCCAAAATGAAAATAATGTATAATAACTGACATGGTTTATTTAATACTTTTTTTGTCATAGAATTTAAATGAGAAAAGTGTTGTTTTATTTTCTTTCCTGTATTGTTTTATATGTATAGATGAAAAAAATGTAAATAAAGTATATAAGCAATGTATTCATTTCAGTCCACCATCTAAGCTAAAACGATCTCCTTGTACTAAGTCTATTATAGCAGAAGTTACTAAAGCGAATAAAAAGATCTACAGGCGCAAAAGAGGAAAATTATTCTATGTAAAATTAATACAGATCTGACCATTGTAACTTTTTCTGAAATATATGATTCAAGATGGTATGCTTATACGATTATATGGACTCATAAAAGTTTATACTTGACCACTCTGTTTTATGAGTTATGATGGAACAACTGTAATAACACTGCTATAATAGGTTGTCATATTTTTCGTAAATCATTTGGTAAGAGGTCATTTCTAAAGATTACAGAAGAAAAAAGCACTTTTGCTGTAAGAATTATTGGTACAATATTTTTATATTATTACAACCATATTCATTTGTACTAATTATTACTGTACAAATACTAATTTGGTAAATGACCATTTTAAAGATTAAAGTTACAAAAGCACATTTTGTTAGATGTTCTATGATAAGAAATCACTTTCTCTCTCCACAGTAATAATAAGTTCACTAATTTTGTGGACCGGTCCGCTTGACCAATTAATATATTACGATTAGTTAAGGTTTTTAGTTGAGATAAAAAAGTCAATGGCACGAGAGGGATTCGAACCCACAATCTTCGGCTAGATATGCCGCTGCTCTACCACTTGAGCTATCGTGACCTCGATCCACTCGGACACTAACATGTCAACCGCACCTTTTGAATTTTCCCTCCTTTTTGCCATTTTTCAAATGTTGTGTAATCGGATTGGATTCTCGACGACAACTTTTTTATCTCAATTAAAAACCTTAATTCGGTCAAGCGGACCACGAAATTAGTGAATTTAATGATTTAAAAGAAGTACACTTCACTAAAGCTCTCCGTGGCCACTTCATAAGTCGCTGAGAATCCAATCCTGTTTACATGACATTTGAAAATGGCAAAAAGAGGGAAAATTCGAACGTTTGTAGGTTGAGATGGGAATTTGGTGTCCGAGTGGATCGAGGCCACGATAGCTCAAGTGGTAGAGCAGCGGCGTATCTAGCCGTAGATCGTGGGTTCGAATCCCGCTCGTGCCATTGACTTTTTTTATCTCAACTAAAAACCTTAATTAATAGTAATAATAAGCCTAACAAAAACTAATGAACTTCCATTTATCTATTTGATATACCTTATACCAACTAGGCTTAGTTGCGACCAGTTCATCATACTTTGTCAGATTAATATATTCTAATGAATGATTAATTTTTGTGTTTAAGTTTCATTTGTGTTATAAGATTACTTTTGATGAACAAATGACTGAAAAGGAACTACATTCAAATATCACAAAAGAAGAAACTAATTAGTACCTGACAGAAATAGTTATTCCTTGTGCAGTGCATTGATGTTGATTTTGTCTCTATTTCTAGTAGTTTTATTTATACACTCAACGAAAAAAAGGACACTTGTCGACAAACGACACTTGTCGATTGTTGTTTATTTTATACTATATGTATGTTTTTTATATTTGTTAATTAAAATATTAATAAAAATTTTAATGTCATCAAAACTAAACAAGATCAGAAATCCATGGATTTTAATAACAAAATGTTTAACTATGACGGTTTGAAATAAAATTCACTGAAACTGGAAAATCATTTAAGGATAGATTAAAATTTAAGTAACTATTTATTCTACCGACTAAATGATTTTCGGTGTTTTGGTGAATTTTATTTCAAACCATCATAATAAAATAATTTTTAATTAAACTTCAGCGATGTAGTTTATCAACCAGCTAATTCAATGCTCTAATAAAACTTCTAATCTTGTTTAATTTGTTTGCATTAAAATAAATATGCTGTATAAATACAGTTTGAAATCAACAATTTTTTATAGTATATCTATATAAACTATTTATTTTCTTTTTTTTACTTTTACTAGCGTTTTTGTTTATGCATGTACAATTTTTTTTAGATATGAATCAGCCCATTTTTAAACTATAATGTTAGAAAGAACCTGTGTGAAGATACGATTGTTGGTTCTTTACAGATTGATTTGAGATGATGTCTACGAATCTTTTTTGTTCTTCACTACCGAGTTTGAACACATGATTAATCAATTTCACACATGCACATGTGCTTGCATGTACAAATTTACACCATTTCTTAAACTCATTTTTCACCTTAACAGTTCTGGGTTTGAACTCATGACCTGGAATTTTTTTTAATGAAAATAATTTGTAAAGTGAGAACATGACAAGTATTGTAAAGTGGTCTAACTTTCTCCATTTCTGTCATCATAATTTAATCTTTGATATATCTAAACTATTCCTTATCATCATTGACAAATGTAACAAGGACGGTAATAGTAATTTGGAGCACTCACTGGGTATTTAGATAATCTACCATATACATAATTATATAAGGGAAAATTTTCGCTCGCTGTGGTCTTTTACTCCCATAAATCATCTACCATTACACCATTCTCACTAATACATTAATACATCACAACAAAAAACTAAAATCATTCATTGATTCAATTATTTGTACCTTGATCTCTGGCAATAACAAAAGTTGAAATTGATTATTTGGTTTATCAATGTTTTAAAAAATATATTATAGGCAATCAATAAAAAATAAAAAAACTGTATTCTACTTATTAATAATAAATATATAAATCAACTATACAGCACATGTCCCCATTTCCAGACTGTGATCTGACTCTCTGTCATTAAAAATGAGATTTAGACAATTATTAAAATTATTATGTTCGGCTGGACCAGCCAAGAAATTTTCAAATTTTCAGCTAAATTAATAGGAAGCCCTCGGAGGAGCTAAATTGAAGAAGAGCAATCATTCTCACCAGACTAAGAATAGGCCCTGTGGACTTGACACACGGACACTTACTTTTGGACCAAAGCATGTATGTATTGAAAGGCTGCTTGATGTGTCCCACTTACTTGAAGGGTGTATTCATTGAATCACTGAGTAGGATGTCACCCAATATGAGAATTACTTGCACAGTAGTATTTTGGTCTCCAGATCCAATTTTTGGAGGAGACGGCAGTTTTATTGTATTATTGTGTTACAATACTTTACAGATATCTTGTTTCTTCCTTGTGTATATTTTGAGTGAAGGAATTTGTAGTGTGAAGCTCCTAGTGGAATATCGAGTACTCCATCGACTTAATTAAGTGGATGACATATAAATAGGAAAGTATGAATTTAAGCACAAGTTGGTTTGGTTTCAAAAAATACATGCATTGGGGGCTGAAATAACCTAGCTGCTGACATTTTTCTAATCAAACCCTTACGCTTAGTATTTATAGTTAAATTTTTTTTCAGACTAATTCTCACACTTCCTTCATTCCATCTTAAATATGTCAAAGTTTTTGGATATGGTACAATTTTATTGATTGCCAGCATCTACTGATTTTTATTTTATTTATTTATTTTTTTTAAATACATCAAGTATTATTATTATTTTACAATTAATTAAGGTTTTCAGTTGAGATAAAAAAGTCAATGGCATGAGCGGGATTCGAAACCACGATCTTCGGCTTGATACGCCGCTGCTCTACCACTTGAGCTATCGTGACCTCTATCCACTCGGACACCAACCTCCCTTCTCAACCAAAAGACAACAAAAAAAAACAAAAAAAAGGAGGAAAATTTGAAAGGTGTGGTTGAGATGGGAGGTTGGTGTGCCAATGACTTTTTTATCTCAACTAAAAACCTTAATTAATTGTAAGATATTAATCAGTCAAGCGGACCACGAAACTAGTGAATTTAATTATTATTATTATATAGTGGTCTGTTCTAAGGCCACTAGGTGCTTTGCAAACGGTTTTTATTCACAGGCATCTGAAGCAGGCGAATGGCCCCCTTGTGAATGTGGTGTCAGGATGTTCCAACCATCTTGGCATTTATGATTATGCTGTTCAGCAGGTCATACTTTGGGACCTCGGCTTTTAATTAAGAATGTATGTATACGGTACAGGGGAAAAAAATTGTAGGGCTCATCATTATACATTTTCCTTCCAGTACAATAACACAATTGTCAGCTTTTTTTAAATGGATTTATAACTTTAAACTTTAATTGTAAAACATTGAGAAAAACTTTGATAATAAGCAAATGTTATTTATTTTACTATAGATATAAAATATTTAAAATAACAAAAAAAATCTTGTATAAATGAAACAATGAAACGTAAGATATGTATTATAATAATCACAACAAAATATAATTATAAATTTATCTCAACTTTTCATAGTTACATAGATGAAAACTGAAAATAGGAATGATACTTCTCATTATTCACATGGTATATACACAAAACTCTAACACAATGTACAATTAGTTTATCCAATCTCATTAATTTTGTTCTTTACTTTTGGAAAATTTCATTTATCCTTATGTTATAAACTATAGTAAAAACCCATATCCCTGCAATCTACGTCTTTTATCAGATCGCATTTAGTATATGCAAGTCATTAATTTTAATTTCCTAAAAATTGTAACAATGAGCAATTTAATTAAATTAAAAACAATGAAGCATTCATTTGAATTGTTTCTCGTCATTACATGCAATCAACAAGCACAGTATTTTAAATAGCAAAACTTTTCCCAAATTTTGATATTCTGTGCAACAAATTTAAGTTGAAATTGAATTAATTTGATGATTGACATTTGATAATAAATTAAATATCAACATTGTAAATGGTTGAAGCTGTGATAAAAAATACAACAGGTATATTCTAACTACCATTTACATCATATATATTTTTCCTGCTTTAGAATGTTACAGTTAATTTGATTTTAAATCAGCCAAATTTTTTTATATCTTTAGTTTGCTATATTTACTGATTACACACCAAATTATACATAGTATATTGTAGTAATTTGTTTTTTTCTGACCGCAATTTTTTTTTTTTTTTTTTTTCAATTTATAAGCATAATTTTTTCACAATAATTTTTGTCTTTCTTTGCACGTGATAAAAAATAAATAAAAATAATAATAATAAAATTAGACATTAAATAATAATATACAGCTTTTATTTTTTGTTTGATATCATAGCTATGATAGCTGTTCATATTTCAGCATTCATTTTAATTTGATGTATTTTTGAATATATAATTATTTCATCCCAACATGCCAAATTCAGATGTAAAAATAATAAATTGTGGGAATAGAATTTCGGATATATATTCCAGAAAGTGACTTTTTAAGACCCAAAATGACATTGGTGCATATTAAAACGAATCTTATTTTAGCATTATGTAAAATATTTTGTAATAATTATTTCATCGTATAATTTTTACAAGCTTTCTGAAGATTCGCTTTAAATGTTTTATTACATGTTACTATATCAATACTATATGTTCTTCAGGTTCCATGGGTTTTTATTTCGACCCAAATTTATCACTTAATAGAAAACAGTTATCATATAGATAAACTTTATAATTGTAATTGAGTTGTGATGAAAAAATGATAAAATTATTGTTTTTGTTGAATTTTATAGTATTCTTGTACTTGTACTTGTTATTAACAAATAAACATAGATAAAAATTATTATTCTTAGAAAGAATGACATAGATGTTAGGTCAGTAATCAAGCGCCCACTCATTTTCCTGAAGAAAATTGTCTACGACATCCTTCATAGCAAAATTTGGTATTAACTGGTCCTGGGTCAACTTGACTCTTGTGACTGGATCAAAATGGCCGACCCTCTATTAGAAGAAAAACATAATATCATATCTTAAATTGATGTTAATTTATCAAATATTTTACCTGAAGATGTTCTTCTATATCTTTTCTCTCGTAAGTAATTCCACTAGGTGTGATAACGGGTTCTCTTAAAATTTCAAAACTTATTTTCCCACAGAGAAAATCTGGAACATCTCTCCTCTGTAAAAAAAAAATAAATAAACTTTATGAATATGATTATTTAGAGTATTTATGATCATGTGTGAATATGCATTATTGTTGGAGCACAATTTATAATAATTGATATAATATTAATGTAAGGATTTGTTTGACAAGGCTCAGGCCTAAATTAGATGACTGTGAAGGATTAGGGTTAATTCAGATTTTCTCTGAAAGGTTGTCACTCCCCGTGTGCTGACCTTAGGCCTAGTAAGCACTGGGATTCTTTGAGTCGACTCTTTGAATCTCCGGAGAGTCTCGGCTGGGTCTAGCCTCAGTCGGGGCTGCCCAGACTCATTGTTGCGATGAATCTGGTGTGTTGCGGGCTAGCATTTTCGGACTCTTTTGAATCCCATCCGATGTTGCACATTTGCCAATGCGGATGTGAATCGGAACAAGCGCTCTTGTTTCATTTGTTTAGTTGACATTGTAGTGAGTGTTTTCTTGAAGATTTCGACAGTGTCTTGTATAAAGGTATGTTGTGGAGTACCGAGTTGACATTACAGTTTATCAAAGACATGCATTCCCATCGGTGTTTGTGGGATGTGTCATTCACGGAATATAGAAATCAGGAATTGAAAAGCCAAACATTGAATGGTTTAGCCCAAAAATTCAGTGTTTGAAAACTGAAAAAAATACTTTAAAAGGACAGTTCCGTTTGTTTTGATATCCTGAAGATGTACATGAGGCTTGTATACGAGTCTCCACTCGCTAGGAACCGGAGATAATCTGTTGGCCGGAGAGATAGATTCCCGAAAGTTGGTATCTTTCTTGGAAATTTGACCGCCAACTTTGATTAAAATGGTTTCGGAATCGGTCGGGGACATCCTCAAAAAAATTCTGAACCCTTCGCCATCATTTAATCTCAACATGTCTAAAAGGTTTTTCCCGTGCTGATTCCCGCCGTGAAATACTTGCCGAACCCACCATCATTGTGGTCGTTTTTTAATGCATGTCCGATTGGATTCACGACATACAATGCAAAAAAGAGCAAGGGAAATTCCTGAGAGCTAGTTCCCCTGTCATTTTCGCAGGCACTGATGAATGTGAACTGAATCTTGGTCTGGACACGATTCTTTGTCGTGGAGCAGAGTCGGAGCTGCATCGCAACAATGAATCTACGCCAGCCCCAACTCTGCCCCACAACATGAATTGATTCAAAGAATCTCAGTGCATACTAGGCTTTAGGGTCAATTCATCGGGGAGTTCACCTACCCCGTTATGTGGTTGGTTTGCTATTATCCCCCTTAAGCCAAATAACCAAGAGATCGTCGCTTCCCAACCAACAGGTTAGGCTCCGATAGGGGCTATTGACAGCTAGGCCACTTCAGCCTCAAACCCATGCATACTATAATCTAGCCTAATACCACATAAATTGGATAATTCAAGTCACACAAATAAATACATTCATGCATTGCACTCAATCCGATTAGTCGGTGGAGTACTGGATATTCCTCCATATACACACTATAATAATCTAACCTAAATTAGGGTGGATAAGGTACTTTTATAAATATTCCGTCATCAAACCTAAGCGCACACAGTGCTGGAGGGGTAATGGTGAAATCACACTAATAAATACATTCAATAAATACATAATGACAAAATATGTAGAATGTAACTATGTATGTACATATCTCCTAAAAAATAGAACATGGAACCCAAAACCAATCACTGTGTTCAAGAACCATTCTTAAATCTGGCGGCATGCCTACACGCTTTCTATATGGAGCCCGGGCATACACACCTCTATTATTTGGGACAAATCAAGCAACCTTTTTTTTGCATAACGGGTACCTGCACGGACTTCAGCCCAAAAGCAAGTGCCTGTGAGTCAACCGTATGGCCAATCCTCAATCGGGTGAGGACAATCCCTTGTCTCCGGCTCAGGTTCTCTTAGGGCCATCCACAAGAGATTCACAAAAGCCTCTCGGACATCCCCGCCCACTGAAGCCCCCCACCATCTTTCTTTTATCATGTTTTATGTGAGTGTGAGAGGGCCTGATCACAATAGTCAAGTTGGAGAGCGGCTTTTCGTTGCTATGTGTCCATTAATCCAGACAATAACCAACATTTGTCAGAGATACACCAGTTCATGGTATTTCTCCAACATGAAAAAAGCGGAGACTTAATTTATTTTTATTTATTTTCCATGTACATTTATTTATTATAAATTACATGGATATTAAACTACTCCATTTACTGTTTAATTTTTGAATCGGCAATTGCATACAGTATGATAAAATATAATTTCATTATGTGTGTGTGTGTGTGTGTGTTTGTGGCAGTATGAGTGTAAATATATTTGTACTTACTCTTCTCCTATCATCAACTTTGGCAAAAAGGGCATTCAACTCACTTATACTATTTTCCTGCAAATAAATTAGCTCAGTTAGCATTTGAAAATATAATATAAACAAATATTTATTTGATGTTAAAGTTTCTGGAGTTGAAGTGTTAATTGCGTCAGGGTTAACTATTAGATGAAGTTTTTCCAGCCAAAGTCAATTCAAAATTGTCGCAAAACTCCATAAAACAGTAAACTCTGAGCTAAGTGAAATATTTAATGAAGTTACATATGCTACATTTCTGCCAATAAAATTTATTTTATGTAAATTAAAATTAATTATTTTTACAAAATATTTTGGTCTGCTTATCATCACTTGAAAATAGCATACATACTCGCATGAATTATTTTTCTTTTAATCTAAAGTATCAAAACTAATTTTTTTTTTTTAACAGTAATGTGCTTAAAAGTACTTACACATTTTGCTTCAATCTCCATGATTCGGTCCTGAACAAATTCCATATTTAAGTCTTCCATGCTATGTTTCACCTTTTCTACTTGCCTCGTTGCATCTTCATGGATCAATTTGGTCACATATGTCTAACAAACAAATAAAAGCTTAGTATTAAGTCGTATTACAAAAAGAAAAAAAATCTATATGAACTGTAGAACATTAACTAACGAGCAATTCAATTTCTTGTGTAATCCTTTTCTCTTCCTGAACATTCCAGCGCTTTTTCCTTGCTATTCTCAACTGACTTGCTATATCATCTCCGAAATTCAGTTTTTGTTCTTTGGCTAAATCATTCGCTGTATAACAAAACCAAAAATTTAGATGGAACTGAACTAGGTTAAAACAAAAAAGAAAATTATTTGTTTACCTCTTTGTAAGTGTTTTATAGCTTCATCATAATTTTCCATTTCAAGCAGGGCTTGTCCAAGGAAAAAGTGGCCTTTGACAAGAGATGAATCCATGTCCAAAGCTTTACGACAATCCTGACACGACGAATCCCACCGTTTTAACTTCAAATGACAAAGAGCTCTATTTGTAAAATATGTCGGCATTGTAGGGTTTTTAATCTGAAATATTAATTATTTATTAATACAGGAGTAATTTTTTTTTTTTTTTTGGGGGGGGGGGTTTATGCTGGCATATTACCCATGAAGTTTTCTATTTTAATTTTACTGTCGAGCGGGATCGTGAGCACGGTCCCCCGGTGAAAAACCCGTTGAGGAGGAAGACCCGTATGGTTTTTCGCTTTCATCTATTTGTTCAGTGTCCTCCTTGGAGGACGTGGATAAAAAACCAATAACAGAGACAATTTTGGAAAAGTCCACGTCCTCGAGGAAACTGGGCTAACTCGCCCTGTCTCTCTCCTGTCCACCCCAACGGGATCGGCCGACCAGGACCAGGCCCCCACCGTGCGCCCGCACCCACTCACTCAGCTCAATCATCTTCTAAATTTTAATAGTTGAAGATGATCAAAAAGTAACGTTTATCGACTTTAGAAATCTATGATTACGTTGAATGCTGCTGGATTGTGGCTTATTAGAACAGATTCTAAGTTTATTGGTTTGGGAACATTTGCGACTTTGCTCAGATTTTTTAGCAGTTTATCTTTCATTTTTGTATTCTGGGCATTTGAAAATTATGTGAGAAGGATTAAATAAAATCAGTACTTAATTGATATACCAGTATTTTATAAAAGTTCAATTACTCAAAAATTAGAAATATATGGGGGGGAATAAACTCAGGACTTTCTCAAATAAATAGTTTTCATAATGCACAAAACAAAAATATATACACATATACAGTTAAATCACAATATATCACATCTTCAAGGAGATGAAGGATAAGTATGATATATCGACATATTCACTACATCGAGATTATGGTATATCGAGAGTAAAAAATGAAAAATCCGTTATATCGAAAGTTTTAATTTTTTTATATGAACATATATGTTATTTTTATAAACTTGTTATTTTTGAAAATATTGATAAATTTTCGTTTGCATTAAAAAATTATTTTAACATGTGCTGTCTATTGCTAATTCAATAATATGAATTCTCCCGAAGACGTTTTCATCCATGTTTTATTCAACTAACAAATGACGTATGTGATTAATTAATAATTTCGCCCCTTTAGGACTGATACTTGAAATTTCTTCTGGTTCTTCGTCTTTTTTGCCATCCATGTCATCTATTTCAGCTAAATTTTCATCATGATCAAAATTAACAATGTCCTCACAGGTGATGGGAATTTCTTCATTTTGTGATGAGAGATGGCATGTGATGTGGGCTTGGATTCCATTTCTGGCTCCATGGCCTTCCATCTTCCTTTAGGAAACCACAAGTTCTGAAGCAATTTTTTATTTCTATTTATCTCCATGCTTTGTAGGCAATATTCATTGCATTAGGCAATGTGGTTTATCTTGAGTCAGTGGTATAAGGTGTCACAAAAAAAAATCCTGGAAACACCCACCAATGGACACAATAGACTCATTTGACTCAATTTAAATGTATGTTTTGTCGACCTTGAAGGTGGAAAACATTATGATAGTGTGAGGAGACTGAAACACATTGGTTTTTTCAAGGGTCCAGCATTTTATTTTGATATTTAAGATATATGTTATATAAGGATATGAACTATTGTGAAGATTCCCAAAAGGGACTCTTAAACAGGGTTTTGTAGAAATTAAGTTTGTTATAAATATTAAGATTAGACGTAAGAATATTTCGGCTAATTGTTGGGAAATCGTATTGTGCAGGACAGGGCAATCGGAAGTGGCCTGGAATCTCGGGAGCAAACCCCGTCTTTCTCGAAAACTCCAGATGCAGCTAAACAAAGCTGGCGAAATGATAACAGCTGGATGTTTTCAATTGAGAAATGTGAGTTGATCCTGGGCAATCGCCCTAGAAAAATTGACTGTTGTGCTGACGAGTGGCCTTATTGCTCAACCCCAGGATTAGCTAATGCCTAGACTCTTCCGGAATAGCTTGATGACCTGGAGAGGACAAGGGCAGTCAAGTCACCCGGAAGCTTAGCAGTATTTCCTAAGCGTAACTGTTCCCCACCTCCTCCCTGAACGGATTGAGACAAAAACACAATCGGAGTCAAGAGTTTGAGTAAAGGCTGAGTAGTGTCCGTAGTCCGGGAGTCCGCAGTGAAGAGACGACGAGGAGTTGAAAAGAGAGGCGGTCAGCAGAGAGCTGTCGCAATCAGCCCGTAGGAATAGGCGAGAAGGAGCTGAAGTCGAGAGAGACGTTAGGAGAGAAGTCTAAAGAGCAGTCTGAGGGCAGGAGACTGGTTGGGCCATGACAGCCGGAGCCAGAGAGGACAACAGAGTCAACACAGCAGAATCTGAACCACCTAACCGTCAAGATCGGTGCACGCATTCCAGTACTGTGAGAACAAGTTTTGTCAATCGGTTTGCGGGAGATTTGGAGAACAGTTGGGCGATTTTGGGCTGCGGCCTAATCTTAAGTAAAACGACCCCAATAATTAAACCCCTAGTAATAAGGATTTGCTAACGGGAATAAGAGCGTTGCTTGTATACAGAAATAGTCATTCAGTTTATAAGTTTTCTTTATTAATTGTTTAAAGGAATAGAGAGTTGTTAGTTATAAGAAGGGATAGAGATTTATTCATGAATTGTATATTAATTGAGCAAGAATTAATTGATGGAACATGTTGGGGAATGTTCAGCCAAAAAAAGACTTCATTGTTCTGTCAGAATTGTATCTTTTCCCAAACCTCCCCGTTCAGAGTTAGTAGAAAGTAAGAAGAGAGTGTTCACCCGTCAAGCCCAGGCAACCTGCCCCCTAAAAGGCTTGACGGGCCTAGAGTGGAGTAACACGCTACTCTCTTGGAGCACCCTAGCGAGCGATAGCGTTTGCTCTCGTTCCATAGATCGAACCACGAGCGGTGAGCCGTGCGCACACAAAAAAAACTGCTCTCAACAACTATCAAGATTTTACTGTATATTTTATGAGAAAATTTTTAATTTTACCTATAACAATTAGAATCAGGGAATATTGAATGAGAATTTTAGATTAGTAATTATGTATTATTAGTAGTGTAATTTAAGTTAATAAATGGTAAAACTATTATAAAACTATTTAATCCTTTAAGTTAAATGTTAAAACTATTATAAAACTATTTAATCCTTTCAAGTAAATATAACACATTCCATTTGTAAATTATACATGTAAATTTAAAAAAAAAAAGTTTGTTGTTTCAAACCAAGTTCATACCCAATTGAATAAAGATTTTTTTCTTCTATTGTTCCTTCAAAATCATCGAAATATTATTTATTTTCATAATAAATTAATGTTTCAGCTCCTTCCAAAATTTCTTGTTTTTGAATATAATATAAACATTTTGTTACTAGTTTTAGCAGCTTTAGTTTTATAAGGTTTTTTTTTTTGCTTTAATCATACACTGATAAGGATTTTCTAACTTCTTTTCAGGCAATGGAAGATAATCAGTATAATCATTGTTGTTCATATAAAATAAGAACTAAAATATTTTTATGTAAAAGCAGTTTGTAGTGTTCAATGCGTTAGAATATCATAATTTCAAGAAAATTGTTACATTACAATTAATAATTAAAGTTTTTCAAATGCCTAAATGGAAATTGTAAGGATATTACTGCCTACTCTACAAAAAATTTAACATTTGTCTTGATTATCGTTATCTGTCTTTGTTTCGTTTTCTCTTTCAGCAGATGTAAATACAATAAACCAAAAACAATTTAATGACAAACAATTATTTACACAATTTAACCATTAAAAAAATAAATAACACAATTCCTATTGCAAAGGAGGGCCGTATAGGTGCCACAGACCTAAGGGTTAGAACTCTTGATTTGTGTAGTCACACTTCAGCAATTCGCAAACTTCAATTACTGCCCAAAACACCACAAAAGCCCTAAATTGATTAAGTCTATAAAATTATTCAACAGTCATTAGAGTTTGGCACACATACATATAAACCTAAAATCAAGAGCATAAGTCACACCATTCGTTATGCCAATTTTTCATAATTCTTGGCATACGAGGAAGTCTTCCCCAGAAACTCGGTCAATCCAGATGTCTTCTAAGACGGCTAATGTGGCTACTATGTTGGCAAGATTGTTACCATGAATGTCACTATATCCCAGTATTGAATAGGGCAAGACCTTCTTTGTTTGAAATTCCCCTAGGGATGTTTTTTCCTGGATTATAGGAAAACTGATTCTGTATGACCAACAGGTCCAAACCAACCTGTAACTTGGCATCTATTTTCTTGAAGTCCGCTCTATTACCCTTTGGGAACTCCTCAATCATTTTTGGTCTAAGGGTTTCAATTTTTCCCGAACATACGCTCAGTTCTTCTCCCGTATTCGAGGGAAGGTGTACGGGTGAGGCGAATCTGCCTTCAGCTTCCAACTTAAGCAGCCTTCGTACCCTTTTATGCAACTCATCTACATCTCTATGCTCTGGATATACAGTTTGTATTCCAACTCATCCCGGTTGAATCTATTTACATCCACCCTCATGTTGTGTGTAGATAATTTTTTCCTTTTCCTTCAAAATGAGTTTTCTGAAAGTAGTTTAGTTTCCCTTCTTAGAAGCAGAGAATTCTTATTAGAACTTTGCCCCAATAGCAAGAGGTGCAGCAACGCTTCTCCCTATTATCTTGAAGTATGTGCAACCCGGTACCAAAATTATTTCTCACTAACGGCATGAATACAGTATTTTGTACTGACAATTCTGAATTTTGAACACAAATCAGTCATTTATTCAGTCCACTTCGAGTCCTACAAGTTTAGCATATTTACACAGATTGTCTACATGGCCGTCAAAAGAGGGATTCACACTGTCAGGTTAAGCACGTTTACGACCACCTGGCAGAAGATAAGTGCAGCTTGGGCATACAGACCCATTTATGGCTTTCCTCAAGTCTGTAAAAGACTGTTACAATCCGAATACTGCATAACTGTTACTGTGATATTGAAAAAGGTGTTGATAAAGAAGTGAACCAGAATGATCAGACTGCATAATCGTAAGTGGGAGCTTATACTAAAGTTTCTCACTAGTCAGTTTCTTTAATATGAGCCTCCACTTTTTTTGGGTGGATTATTGAACCTTACCTAACTCATTTTTTTTATTTTCTATTTAAATTAGAGAAAATCTAGTCTAGAACGGTATACTAAAGAACGCTAAGATTTATAGAAAAATAGATTTTGATTTTCAAAACTGGGGGCTTATACTAAAGAACATCTGGTGGAGAGTTACCACTAATACATAAAAATCCGAGAAACTTCTAGAAAATTTTGGAAGAAAAGAAACAACATAACGCAACAAAAGAAGCAGGGAAAAACGTCAAATCTTGACAGGACACTGCAGACTGAATGGGCATATGAAGGATATTGGTATAACGCAACATAGCATGTGCAGAGAGCAAAGAAGCAGTTACCAATGTAACTGTAGAAGAAATTCACCACTGAAACCATGCCTAGTAATCTAATTTCTTGATGAACTTTAACTAGCACTGGTGTGCTGTAAGCACTGAACATGGGATACAGTAGCTCTCAAAGCACGCAGTACATTACAGCTCGAACGTACATCTACATCTAACACTAATATTTTGCCGGAATCTCTTAGATCAAAATCAAAGCGAGGACAAAGATAACGGAATGACTAACAGAGAACAGCTGATAACATTTCTTGAACATTAATTCAGCCATCTTCTAACAGCACATGTTACAATTAATGTTTTTACTTGGAAGCTATACTTGGATCAGTTTTGAAGAAGAAAAAGAAACGCTATTTAACAAAAAAAAAAAAAAGTACTATAACAGTTTTTGTATTATTTTAGAAATTGAGTAATAGCTTCTTGGAGATTAAAAACTTACTATGGCTTTCGAATAGCATATAACTGCATCCTCGTACTTCCTCATGTTGAAATGCCTGTTACCCTGGTCCTTCAGCTCTTTGTCTGTGAGATTGGCCGTCGAGTAGGTGTACTTGCTCATCTTGGATTAATCGAATCGCCTATCCTGAGATCGAATCGAGGAAATCTCCTAGGATAATCGCTACGTTTGTAGCTTTTAACTCGGTGAAAAGAAAGAAAGCTTTTTTTCTTCACTTTTGCTCAACGTGCCAACGACTCGACTGGGATACTCTCGCCCCTACAGTAACACGGTTTAAAAGACATTCTTCTCCCCCGGGCCCGACGAATTCCAAGCCTTGGCCTAATATTTGCTGTTGAGTTAAACGAACTTCTTCCCGATTGCAAAAATTAAAAACAAATCTGAAGACACTTGGAATTTGCCAGCTGACAGACTGTAAGTGTTTATACTGTTTCACGACAGTGCTCTCTGACTACTATGATGGAACTGGCCATTAGTGTCGTAGCGTCAAAACAGCCATCCGCCTTTATTCAAAACTGCAAGAGGTTCTTCAATCCTCAAACATTTATTTCTTTCTTTAAAAGAATAAATATGAAGCAAAACATCCTTGAAGGCTATGCCCAACCTCTTGGGGTGACAACCAGATGGCCACGTTGAGACTACATCTTACTCTGTTGTACAGCAGCTTTTAGCACGTTCACAAGTTACCTTAAGATATTTTGACTTGTTTCCTTTAAAACTGACAAACATTTGCAAAAACTACTCAATTTTAGACAAATATAGCATAACAATGTAAGCCATGCTTTAGCAATTTAAATGATAAGATTGGAGCTTTTAGACATCTAGAGGCCTGCAGGGGCATGAACTGTAGTAGTTAGACCATCCTCCCATTTACTCATTCCTAGAAACGGGGACTGACTAAATAACTATATGATCTCAGAAACATCCTTTGCAGCATCCTATAAAGTCTCAACCGACCGAAGAAACCATATGGCTTCAAAACAAATGAAGGAATCAGATCAAGTATAGTCTGTGCAAGCCCAAACTATGAGCAATCATAGTACACCTTGATCTTTCAGGATGAAATACATGTATTATTGCTTGTGTCTTAAAAATTCTCATAAGATCACCAAGCATTTGACAAAGCACTAGCACATAAAAAGTGCAAGAAATGATGAATATGAGGCGAGTATGATGTTTAATCTTTTTTTGAAAAGTTGGAACTTAATCACATTTTGTTGTTCTCAATGTTCTGGGTTTCAAGCTTAAAGCTCATCTTCAGGTTAAAGGATTGACAACCACGCCTCTCGACATGAGTTGTAAGAGTAACTGAGAGTGACTCTCAGGCCTATCTAAAATAGTGAATTCATCTAAAATCTTCTAAATCTGGGGAAACCAACCCGACAATATCTTGAGTGCCAAGACAAAAAGAAGTCGTGGGTAATGAAAAAGCGAAGAAACTGGTCAGAAGAGGATCTGCAAGACCATGTATAAACAAACTCTGGAGGTGCCAAACACAAGTAAACTCAAGTTAAATCACGTTAGAAAACTTAAAAGAGATTACACCTACAAAAAGTTCTAATAAAATCAAGCAGCCATAAAAGAACTAGCACATAAAAATGACTATCTAAAATATCTAATAACTCTCTAAAATAGTGAATGCATCCCGAATCTTCAAAATCTGGGGAAACAATCTGAAAATATCTTGAGTGGCAGGACACAATGCGGGTAATGAAAAAGCAAAGAAACTAGCCAGAGGAGGATTTGCAAAACCGTGCCAATGTGTTATACTTATTGGGTAACTCATGAGTGTAGACAGATTCAGTTCAACATGTGTTTACCAACTCTCAGACCAACAACCATCATCAACAGTAAACTTAGGGGGGGGGACCGCGGTAGCCGAGTGGTTAGCATGAGAGACTCTCACGCCGCGGTTTTGGGTTCGATTCCCACCGTCGCCTCTGGCCCTTTTTTCCCGATAACCCCCAATTTGAACACACAAGAATTCGTACTATGGCTAATATGCAAGATCATAAGGCCAATAAAAAAAAAAATAAAAAATAAAAAAAAACTTAGACTAAATAACCCTCACCAATACTGGCAAACACGTTGCTACAGCTAGAGAGGGTAAAACAAAGGGTAGTGATTTTTTTTTTTTTCTTTGCCATTTCGGCATCCGCCACACTATAAAGGGTAGTGATTACCTGGTCACCAATATCTAGGAAAACACCTACAGCATATTTTCAATGATGACAATATTAGTAGGTTATGCAGTGAGGAGAAATTACCATCCATATTATTTTTTAATATGAAGTAAAGCTCAATGGAGGCATAATGTAAGATATCAAGGAAAAAAAAAAGAAAAAAAAAAACTGTGCCAAAGACCTACTTCTTAAGAGATACATCAAGTTAATCGAACTGAAGTAAGGGCCTAAGAAATGTAGAATAAGCCAGAAAGCTGCAGGGCTAGAAAAACAAAATCCCTGCTTCGTAGCTTTCCATTATCATCATCATAGATAATTTCTGATTAAAAATGGAAAAAATATTATATCTTTAATTTATTAAAAAGCCTGACACCTACAGAAAACTGAAACTCAAACTCACGAATTATGACCAAAAATTATTTTCACATTGAAAAAAATGTTCAGATGCTCGGCAAGTTTAAATATTTATGAATCATTGTTTTAAAAATAAACAGATGTGTATGTAATGTGCAAAAATATTCCCAATTTTTAAATAATTTTCTCTTATTCGACTAGAAAAAAACAAAAACCAAACAAGGTATGTTCTTAATTGTTAACCCTTTTTATTTAAACATCTGCTTTTAAAGAGCAAGAAATGTGAGGTGTCAGTTTTAAAATAGATTAAATTTCTCGTCATTTGGACTGAATAATGAAAAAATCCAAGTACGATATCATTATTACAGTCAACCACAATTTGACTTTGAAGTCTTTTCAATGGTTGTTTTGTTTTGTGATAAACTAATCTCAAATAGAGCAAAAACAAATTATATCAACGCAAAGATTACGTTATTTCTTTAAAAACTTTTGATCAGATTAATTTCCAAATTATTGAAAATATTCTTATTATGATCAAAGAGGTCAACTTTTATTTACATTTATTTACGAACTGAAATGTTAACTAAGTTGCCTTCAAGAAAACATAATGAAATCTAATTGAATTTTTTGCCTAAAAATCATTTTATTTTAAACAGTCTTTTAATAGAATGTTGTATGTTTACAATTTTTACAAATAAGTCATTGCATATGATTGAATGGAAAATTGCAAGCTGATTCTCCATTAATTACAGCAGTTTATCCTTAATTTATCCTCTAAAATAAGGAGTTAGAAAGTTAATTTTTTAACTTAAGTTAGTTAAGTTTTAACTTAAGTTAATTTTTTAATCAATGTAACAAATGCTTAAAATGGTATATAAATCACCTCTTCCTGTAAGGCTAACGTATGATGAAAAGAGCATTGGTTGTCTCCACTAGTCTCAGATAAAAATGACTCTTGTCTAATGGACGCTAAATCCATTGTGAGCAAATCGTTTATGGAAAGATCCGAAGGTGATGTACTTGGTGATATGTCAAAGTTGAAACTGTCGGCATCTTCAGTTATACGATTGAAATTCCCCGCTGAGCTCAAGTCTGAGTATGACCTGTAGTATTGAATTTCAATTGAACCTAATATGTAAAATACTGATATTTTCAACATACCTCCGTCTTCCCATCAAATTAATTAATTCCTGTAAGTCATTGGTGATCAATTCTTTTTCTCGTCGTGTTATCTCATTGATTTCGTTCGAAATGTCATCTGTATTAAGCCACTTATTCATTGCGATGGGCCAATTGGTGGTTAATTTACAGTAATAAAATTTTGTTCTTGGTTTCTATAGAAACCCAAAACAGATTTATACAAACAAATTATAACTTGTGTTAATTACAATTCGGAATAGAATTGAATTTTTTTGTAAATGTATAGCTTATTTTGATAGAATTCTATATTTATACACAATTATTTAAATATGGAATGTATTTAATTATATAATATATTTTAAGAATATCAATAAATAGTGGGGGAGGTGTCCTTACAAATGCTCTTCTTCTTCTTTTTTTTAAACTGGCATCCTGAGAGTGACCTCTGCTGTTGCGAACCCTCATAAAAAATCAATGAATAGATTTGAAGTGCTAGTATAGCATAATTTTTGTACAATCTCCATGTTTTGAATTTTACATTTTTATTTTGATTAGCTAGCTTCTATCGAACTACATGTGCACCATCTCCCAGATTTGTAGAAAAAAATCTTAGAAGAAAAATGTTTTGTAATTTTTTTAAATGTATTTAATAGCCAAGAAAATGTCTATTTTTTTTCTCATAGGGTCTGTTGGGCGATGAACTTGTAGTTAGTTCTGCCTACCTTTGCTGATTGATCTGCCAGGCATGTTTCAGCTTTTTGCCAACTTCACTGCTGTTGAACCTGTTAGTTTAGTAATTTATATGTTTTCACTATATTATACTCATTCTTTGCCCCTGCTGCCTTTCTAGTGGTTAGTTTTCGTAGTAAAAAGTAAACTTCATTTTTCTCAAATATTTATTGTCACAGAATATTAACTACTTAACTTCAAAACTTTTTATAGTCCACTACAACTATTGCAAGATAATTATTATTATTTATATGCAACAGGGCTATCGACAAAAATATCATTTCAGCCATTTACATCATTTTTAACTTAGACACACTCACTCACATTCTCATTTAAACTGGAAACATTGAGCTACCTTTTTATGCTTGCTGGACTTATATGTGGGCTTCTCCCCAAAATTAAGGGCCTGTGTGTCAACCATAAATGACCATTTCAGTTTGGATTTTCTGGGGGACATCATGCTCTTGTCCAAGATCTTCTTGGACAATCATTTTTTTTTTTTTTTTTACTGGGGCTTCCGACATCTAGGTCATTTCAGCCCCCAACTATGTCTATATTCTATTTACACTTTCAAACACTACATTCATACACATAAATACATCCATACACATCCTTCGGAGGCAGTCAGCCCTTGGTAATAACTAAGACGGAAAGAAAAGCTTAATTGGAAGTAATAATTAGGGAGAAGTACTGGCTTTCATAGGGGTTCTGTACTGGGGTTCTCTACGGCACACGGCAAGAGGGTCACATGGTTGATGGCTATAATGCCAATACCAGAAAAAAAAAGAAAAAACATCCATACAGTACACTCATTCCGTTTGGTCAGTGGAGTATTTGATATTCCTCCACCGACCTATACTCAAACTCTCAAACTAATCTAGATTCAGGACAATGGAGTACTTTTATAAATAATTCACCGTCGACACACACTCATACGCTCTCAACGTTCGAGGGGCGATGATGACTTATATATCACTCTCACCCCTCGCCATTCACGCTAATAAATACATGCACTCAGACAAAACCTATAGGCACACAAAACATAAGACATATTACATACAATAAAAAAAACCAATTTCCCTTAAAAAGAGGAACAGGGGAACCAGAAACCCGCTGCAGTGCTCGAGTACCATTTTCAGGTTGGTATGCCTACACGCTCCCTGTAGGGAGCCAAGGCATGACATGTTTCCAGTATGTGGGACACATCAAGCAACCTTTCTCTGCATAAGGGGCACCTGCGCAGGCTTTGGCCCAAGAGAATCATTGTTATTATAAATCTATTTATGTTTTACTGGTCAATTGACCAAGTTACGTCTTTAAATTAATTATTCATTTTATACAAGGTCCTGGTTGAGATAAAATATTAACTATAATTACAATTTATTACAATCCAATTTGTCTCTCAGTTTTAAAAAATGTTTCAGACATGAATCATGAAGTATTAAAAAAAGCGAAAGAAGATGAAAAGAATTGTAAGTTAATTTGAACAATCTGTTATTATAGTTTATAATTCTGATTTTTTTTTTTTTATTAATTTATTTTACAGTGCGTCCTTTCATTGCGTTTGAGCAACTACAAAGAATCAACACCGATATTTGCTATGTTCAAGATTGGTATTCTAAAGCATCATGGATCAATAAATTGAAATTCTGCACAAGATTGTTTGAGGTTTTAAAAGACGGTGTTCATGTGATTGACTTGGTCTATTTCATTGGTTCACCTGAAAAAGATCTCACATACAGTAAAGAACAGTAAGTTTTAGTATTATCGTGGATTGCATTGGAATATTAATCTCAATGTTAATTGTTTGTAGAAATGCCAAATGTTCTTACGATATTCAACCACTCGACCATAACAGAAGTTTATCAGATGAACATTTAGTTAAAATGAGGAGGTATTATGTCAATTGGTTTAAGTCTTTACCAGACTATCAACAGATTCCAGTTTTTATTAGTAGGTGTTTTAGTTGTAAGCTATGAAAATGGAATAAATTATAAATTGACATTCAAGGTCTGTTACATATGGGTGGAAGTCTCCTTCAAGAAAGTATATACCAAATGGGCGTGAATGTTTTGAAGCAAAAGGAAGAATTGATAGCAATGGAATTAGAAAATGGTATGTGTACAAGTAAGTGGCTCTCAGCTGTATTGATTTTTCCCCTTATTATTCTAGACAAAAAGCTAGAGGAAGCTCGCAAAAAATTGGTAAAAATTGAGAACAGATTGAATGCAAAATTTAGAAGGAAGAAAAGGAAGTTCACAAAAAAAGATAGGAAGAAATTAACTGTTCAAAATTCAGCTTCAGCTCCTCCAGTAGAAACAAAGCATCCATCAAAAACTTCAATAGATACACAAATAATAACATCAGAAGGATTGATGAAAGGTGGACGATTGATCGATATTTTTTTAGGTGAAATGTTTAAACATTGCCAATAATTAAAAAAAAAAAATACAGTTGAAGCTAAACATTTTTTTTAGGTCCAAGACAAAATGCAAAAGCAAAGTTAGAACTTACACGATTACAGCAGCAGTGGGCTAAAATTTCAACCGACATAGAAACAACTAGCGTAAAAGCGCAAAGTACATTGTACCCAGACAGAGTAATTGAACAATTAAGTATTTATTAGATTGATCTAAACATATAATAAGCTGTAAATTTTCTCAAAAGGTCCAAATGCTACCAATTTGGGTGAACAGGAAAATAATTCACCAGTTGCCTGAGAGTTCATACCAAACACTGAGCAGAGTAAACAGCTATTGGAGGGAAATGATAACACAAGTTAGAAAAGAGAAACGAGCAAGAAAAACTATAGACTTTGCTGCATTATCAATAGAATCTTCAGTAAGTTATCATTTCGGGAGTCTCGCAAGGGTCTCATCTTGGACCAGTTTTATTTCTCTTATTTATTAATGATATCCATCTTGCTCTTCCTTCTGCTCAATTTTTATTATTTGCTGATGATCTGAAAATCTATTCCATAATCGCTTCTCCTTCTGATTGCTTACAATTACAAAATTCTACCAATAATGTGCTATATTTTTATAGTGGATTTCGATCCATAAATAAATAAATAATTTCTTAAATCATAAAAAAAAAATTAAACAATGTATAAATAATACAACTGAGTGACAAAATTATAGACACATTAAAAAAATCATGATTTCAACAGTCAAAAATTATTTCTTTTGCCATTAGAATATTGTTCATCAAATTTAATGATGAAGCGGACCGGCTGGCCAAATCTGCGGCCTCCGCTGGCATTCCCTGCTCTATTATCTCCCCTAGAGATCTAAGAGCCCACATAAACAGTTACTGCAGGCTCCGTTGGCAAAACGAATACTCCGCCAGCACAAATGGAAAATTTTATAAATTCATCCAACCTATCATTCCTACCTTCCCTTGGTTCCGATCTTACAATAGTCCTCGCCATTCTCTCACCTCCTCGGCTTCGCCTAAACCACAATTGTCTTCCCTCCCACCTCTATAAAATAAATATCCTCGTCTCTCCTTTTTGTTCCTGCGACTCCTCGTGCATAGCTGATTCCAACCATATTTTACTAGCCTGTCCCAATATCTCCATCAACCGAGAGTCCCTCTACAACACTCTAACTTCTAATATTATCCCTCTTCTTACCTCAATGTCCGTTATACTCTCTTTTACCTACAAAGTATACATTTAAAAGTATACATTTCAATCTTGAAGTTTTGAGACTTGGCCAATGTGCTAGACCATAAGGCAAAAAAAAAAAAAAAATGTTCATGATATTATAATAAAATTAACTCTGGAAATGGCTTGATCTGATAATCTTATAAAAATGTACATCTCAATAAATAGTATTGTTTTGATTTAGCTGCGAATTTTAGACACACATTTTGTTTAGGTTTATTTTATAACTCCAAAGGTTTATTCAGTATTCACTGTACCATGCCTCAGTAAAGCGATTACTGTGAGTTCATTTGGAGCAATTCAAAGTTATTTTAAAATGCCCAAAGGAAAAAGATTTTCTGATGAGGAGCGCTGGTTGATTCACCTGCTCAATGAAGATGGAATGAGCTACCGAGATATCGCCCGACGCATAAAACGAAGTTTTTCATTGGTTTCGAAGATAACACGACTAGGTGAAGACTACGGAAGAGGGCATGGCTCTGGAAGACCACCTTCCTTGAACAGAAGAGACAAATCGCACACCTGCGCGTTGCTTCAAACAGCTTTCCGACTGCAAAAGCCATTGCAGAGAAGGTGGGTGTTGATGTTTCTGTTTGAACGGTTCAGATTCCTTAAAAAAAACTGAAAACAAAGTCCGAAGAAAACTGAAACGCAAACCAGTTCTGAAATCCCACCATAAACTAGCCCGTGTCAAATCTGCTGAAAACCAAATTTTGGAAAATTAAGATTATTGGCAAAAAGTTATTTTTTCTGACAAAAAAAAATTCAATTTGGATGGCCCAGACAGATATGCATACTACTTTCATGATCTAACTAAAGAAGAAAAAATTTTATCACGGCGCTAAATGGGTGGTGGATCTTTGATGATTTGGGGGTGTATTGGGTGTAATAAAAAAGGGAATCTTTGTTTTCTTCCAAAAAAAGTCAATTCGGAATATTACAAGAAATTACTGGACAAAGAAAAAACTAGTTTCAGCGATTTATGCGAAAGGACTCCAACATTCCAGCACGACAACGCACCCATACACAATGCAAAAATTGTTAAAGAATGGTTTTCACAGAACAGCATTGAAAAACTTGAATGGCCTGCACTCCCACCAGACTTGAACATTATAGAAAATTCACTAGTTTCGAGGTCCGATTGACCAATTAATATCTTACAATTAATTAAGGTTTTCAGTTGAGATAAAAAAAGTCAATGGCACGAGCGGGATTCGAACCCCCGATGAGGTCATGATAGCTCAAGTGGTAGAGCAGCGGCGTATCAAGCCGAAGGTTGTGGGTTCGAATCCCGCTCATGCCATTGACTTTTTTATCTCAACTGAAAACCTTAATTGTAAAATTATAGAAAATGTATGGGGAAAATTATCAAGGATGGTATATCAAGACTGTAAGCAGTACAACTCTGTCGACAAACTTAAAACAGCTTTCAGCACTGCCTGGATTAATTTGCCTCAAGATTTTATTCAAAATATGTACAAAACCATTCCAGAAAGATTACTGGAAATAATAAAACTGAGTGGTAATACCACAAAATATTATAACAATATTACAACCTTGTTTTAAATTGATTTTATTCCATGTGTCTATAATTTTGTCGCAGACCAAAATCGTTTAATTTTAGTATTTTAATAATTTTTTCTCTTATTTACTGAAAAATTAAAGTTTAATGAAGAAAAATATTTATTTCATGTGTTTTGAATAAATATTTGTAGTACAAACCCATTACATTAAAAAATCATATCAATTAGGGGTGTGTATATAATTTTGTCACTCGGTTGTAATATAATCTATCTGATTAAAATAATCATTTTTATAATTAAAAAACATTTCAGGCACCTGTCTATCGAATAAATTTTCAAGTATTGTGTAAGGAGGATAAAAACGGGAAAAGAGTGCATAAATTGAAAAAAATCCATTCTCAAACTAACCAGCATAGTAAAAAGTTGGTCAAAGCCAGGGGTAAGTTGTGGTAATTAGATTTGTTTAATGTTAATTCTAATTTTTTTTTTAAATTTCTGTATAAGTAATGACAACTACTGGAGCTTTTAGCACTATTGTGCCGGAAGATGAAATTAAACGAGCTAAATTTTCTGACTATTATTTAACTATTGAAAAAGAGTCCAAATTTTCTGTAGACAAATGTACTCTCAGCGTGATCAGTACTGAGTAAGTAACTTTTTGTCAATAATTTAATAATTTAATTATATTAATCCATTATGTATTTGTCAGTCACAATTGACCATATTAACTATTTTGTCACAAGCGGGATTCGAACCCATGACCTTCAGCTCAACACATCATTGCTCTAACCAATTGAGCCATCGTGACTTCGGTCATCTGGACACCGACTCATCTCAACCTACAACCTTTTGAATTTTTCCCTCTTTTTGACATATTTTCAAATGTCGTGTAATAAGCAGAAGACAAGAATATGAGCACTGTAAATTCCTCTGTAGACATGAAAAATCTAAGAGTCTCCTTGTAGCCTTTGAAAGAAAAAAATGATCAATAATTTAATGTTCCAATTTTTAAATTGTTTTTGTTGTCGAATTTGAGTTTGGGAGTGGGAGGATGTGGTCTGTTTCCCTCGGTGACCACCCGTTCTGGGAAACTATTCTATCCTTACAATTTTTTAATTGTTTGCGTCTTGTTTCCATTTTTCAGTTCCGGGTCTTTCCTTAGAAGCTATGTTGTCCATTCATTGCTAAGTGGGTTTATCTACTGTTTGTTCATGTAGATAGGCCTTAATTGAATTTTGATTCTCACTTTTTTGGCCTAATAATTTCATAACTTTTTTCTTTGTTACATTTTGCTTTGTTGGGGTTGGTGAGTTCGTTATTTCTCTTTTCCTTTTCGGACTAAAAAAGCCATTTTTCCCTCCTCTCTGGCCTTCTTCATTTCTGGCATTTGCTCCCTAATTCTCTCTCTCTTACTCAATTCTATATCCACTGCAATGGTGATTTCGCTACCTTTTTTTTTTTTTTTTTTTTTTTTTAGTATAATTATCTTTTTCTTGTATGTCGTTAATCCGATCAGTATTGGCCTTATTTGTCCCTCTTTAGCCTGCTGGACATCTGACGAAATCTAATTCTTCTTCTATTCTGACTTTAAGCTTCTCTCTTAGCAATTTTGTGACAAGTTGTTCAGTGTCAAAATATCTTTCATTGCATATTTCTTTCACGTTGAAAATTATATTTTTCCTTTTATTCAGACTTTCTAATGCATTAAGCTTTTTCTCTCGCGCTGCCATATTTTTGTTATTTTCTTTGATGTTATTCTCCAGTCTGTTTGCAAATTTTTTGAACTGGCTTTCCATAAAGAATACAAATTAATAAAAAAATAATAATAAACTATTAATTTTAGTTATGGATTAAATAGAAGTGGGGTAGCTTCACAGCGTTGGATAGTAATTGCAGATCAAAATGGTTTGAAATTTCACTGTACCAAAACAGGAGCCCCTTCAACGATTGCCATACATGACTGTCACATTGACCCTATAACATGTCTTGCTTTACATCCTAACAACTACCAGATCTTCACTGCCAGCTTTGATGGAAAAATCAAGTAAACAAATTTACCAATTGCTATTAATTGTTGTTAATTTACCATTAAAATTATTCTCCAGCTTGTTTTCTTTTGTGTATCAGTTTTTTCTTACAAATACAGATTGTTCGATATTTGGAGCAAACAGTGTAAATTGACATATTCCGGCCATAAGAACATAATAATTTCAATTGAAGCAAACAGTTCCTATCTTGTCTCGTGCTCAGCAGATTTACAGTTGAAAAGTACAACGGACTGATGCATAAAATTACTAAATCTCTCGCTTTAAAAAAATTACTAGTTTTTAGAATCGACAGTGCAGCCTGCATCCTAACGCTCGAACTTCAGGAAGGATTACCAACGAAACTATGTGTGGATGAAGAAAATTCCGTTTACATTGGCAATGTAAATGGAAAAGTGGTGATGGTCAGGTTTAATGATCATGGCACTGCTTTGTTAGAAAAAGATCTTATGTATGGGGTAAGTTTTAAATTTCAAATTATCAAACTAAGCTTAATATGAAGGGGGGCTGTGGTAGCCGAGTGGTTAAAGCGTCAGACTCTCGGTTAGTTGATCCCACGGTCGTGGGTTCGATCCCCACCATCGCCTCTGGACTTTTTCTGACTCCTAAGGGGACCGGTGGCCGCAATTGAAAGAGATTGACACGCACTCATCAATGGAAGGGGCGGGATTGGATCTCAGTGACCCGGAAAAACACCGGTAAAACGGGGGCTCAAGTTCACATTTGTGTTGCAAGCCCCCCCCCCCAAAAAAAAAATATATATATGGAGCCAGGGATAAAGTACAATAAGCTGTACAGCTGCAGTGCTCAGGAGGGGGGAAAAAGCTTAATATGTGGGAAAGCTTTACTTTAAAGCATTACTTTTTATTAAAGAAAAAAAAGTTGTATTTGCATGCTTTATGCATACATCTAAGTGTGTTTATTATGTTATTTTAATTGATTTTAAGGTAATTGTACATGCTCATTGTGGTGAAATCACTTGTCTAAGTACTTATCCTTTATTTGTGATATCTGGTGGTATTGATGGTTATGTAAGAATCTGGGATGCCGACCTGAATGATCCACACAGTATTGGATCTTATAAGCATAAAACGTTGGTGCACTAGTTTAACTTTGAGTTTAGAATTTAATTTTTTCAACTTATTTTTGCATTGTCAAAGGAGGGTCAACAGTGCGGTTGTGTCATTTTTAAAACTTTTCACCGCATGTGAAGATGGTGAACTTTACATATGGAATGTTGAGAAATGCATTGTTTTAAAACAAATGACTATCAATACAAATGGTAGACCGATTGTTAACATGTACTGCTTAGAAGAGCACTTTTTCATTAAAGTAAGATTTGTCCGACTTATTCCACTTGGAATTGATAAATAAATATTAAGTATTAAATTCCAGTTGGTTCTATTCAACGAATTGGACATAAAATTGTTAGAAATTGATTTGCCATGGAAATCATGTGAAGATTTTAAGAGGCCTAAGTTTTCAGCGGCTAAATCTAGTAAAATAAAAATAAAATTAAACAATACTGAAAACTGTAGATATTAATATTGTATTTTTAGTTGAACACACAAAACGACTCAGGGACATGGATCCAAAAATGACAAGAGAAGACATTCAAATGCTGAAACTTCATTACAGAAATACCATACTTGAAAATTTAAGGGGCACCTCGACTAAAGAACGGACTGAAGATCAAAAACCGACAATTTATTCAACAGCAGTGGTAAGTTAAAAACACAAATAAAGAAATAAGATTACATTTTGATTAACTTTTCCGATAATTTCAGGATGAAATAAACGAGGTAAAAAGCTTTCCGCGGTATTATAAAACGGAAAAGTCGCAAACAACCTCCAATTTTAAATATTACAAGCCTTCAATTTCTGTAGAATCGAAATTCAGCCAACAATAAATTTCATGAGATAAGATTTTGATTATTGTTGCCTTCTTTAAAAAAAGAAAATAAAAATTTCAATCCTAAATTTACTTAGGGCCTTTTTATTATTTGAATGATATATGCTGTAAGCAAATGTTTTTCTAAAGCTTGGAAAAATAAAATCTTGATTAAATTCTCAAATAACATGCACATACAAGCCGCAATAGAAATTGACCACAAAAGTATAACATTTTTCCATGAAACCAATATTGTATGATTCACGAATCTAAATAGGCAAATGGAATCTTGGAGAGGGTGTACAAAATGTACATAGTTTAAAGCAATTAATTAAGGTTTTTAGTCTAAATTAAAAAAAATTGTAATATATTAATTGGTCAAGCGGACCACGAAATTAGTGAATTGAATAGTGTTACATAGTTTCAACAAAGGGAGAGAACTAGATTGGTTTGAGAAATTTGAAATTAAAAAAATGTAAAATTGAACATGGTGATAAATCCATTAATAATATAACAGATTTTGATCTACCTTCCATTTTAAATATGTACATAAATAATATTAAACATCTAAATAATTTAATTAATTGTTATTATTTTTATAATAATTTAATAATACTAAGGTATTATTCTATGTTTTATCTTTTATCTTTAATCACTAATTTATAATTAATTTCTTACAGTATTTACTATTATAATAGTTATTTGTGTTATAATTCCAGCTTTTCGTACTTACTGTGAGTAGGAAACATCTTTTTAAAAAGGATTGAACTCCACGCCCACTCCATCATTCATAATTTCTATACAATTTTCATTTTTCCCCTGAATTATTCTTGAATATAAGTCCAAGGGATTCAAACCAAGAATTGGTAGTATATTAGTCAGACACTATTACTATTTGGTCATCACAGCGCCCCAAAATCAAAATAGTTGTGTACAAATCTAGGAAATTTTGACCAGCAGATTAACTCTATCATCAGCTCCATGATGGAAAATAATTTATAGTAAATATAAAAATCAATGAATTAAGGATATTTTTTTTACTTTGACTCTTTTTATTGTTTTCAATAGTCTCACACTTGTTTTAAGGTTGTATAAATAAAAGTCTTTTATCGAGATAGCACCTTCATTTCCTTTTATTATTTTTCATTAATGGCAACTAATATTTCATACATTTTAATTCTTTGTATGTTGCACATTTATTACTATACATGTATTATTTATTAAAAACAAATGTTTTGTTTTTTCTTATTGAAAAATATATATCAGCACAAAACTAGTTAGGTCATACATTTTTAGAAAGTATTCATAATTTATATATCTTATAAGCGTATTTTGATATTAAGAAAGGCTTTTAAGATGGTAGCCTTAATCGTTTTCATAATACCAACAATAATATCCTTAAATAAAGACAGGAGGGGATTCTTTAATGACTGCAATTGTTAAATGACAATCAACTAAGTACAACAAATAACACTTTTTTCTCTCTCTCTCTCTCTCTCTCTCTCTCTCTCTCTCTCTTTCTCTCTCTCTCTCCCCTATCGCTTTGCTTTTATAACCAATATTTAAGAATATTATGCAAGGGGGACATTTGATAAATGCTCTACCAAAAGTTTACACATTTTATCGTTTCTTTAAAACTAATATTAGAAACAAAAAATTAATTGCACGTTATATATGTATATTATAATGATTGAAGAATAAAATTATATTTATAGAGCTAATTAACTTAAAATTAGAAAAAACTTTTTTATCCATTTTATCTAACAATTTTATTTGCTCTTTTAAAATTAACATTTAAAATATTGGTGAGATATTATGAATGTAGATAAATATGTTACTTCTTTTTTTCCACATTACTAATTAATGCAGCTGTTATCTATAGACATAAGATTTCAAACTAATCTATTTTATTCTATTAAGTCTATCAACATGTTCAAGAAAAAAGTTCTTAGAATAATAATGGTCTCTTGAATCATTTTAAAATATAAGACTCTGTATATTTTGGATTCCTAATTATAATTTTAGCTGGCTTTCATTAGCATAAAATAATTATTTAAAGCCATTATTATTCTTTTATAATTAATTTTTACATATTTTTTTATTTAAACACTACTTTCACTATAAACATATCACAATACTTTTGTGCAATTTACCTAATAAAATAGCTATACAAATAGTGCAAAATCTTAAAAATATACAAAATAATTTTCAAATGAACAAAGAGTCTACAGTTTATGACATACTGTTTTCTATGTTTGTTAACTCTTGTCCTTTTTATTCTTCTTTTTATATTATTATTTTTACATGCCCATTTCCTGGTATATATAAAGGAACAAATAACTTAAAAAGCACATTTTTAAATAGCACAGTGAAAACAATGGTTTACCTGCCAATAAAATACAGTATTAATGTATATATATTTGAAGTAATGATGTTCAACAAGTAATTAATGTGCTTTATGCGTTAAAAAGTTCGTTTGTTTTTTAAACAGTTGCAATAAAAATCCTGAATATTTTTAACCTCTCTGTTGTGCAGACTTTTAAGAACATGTTTTTCAAAGAATTTTCGAGAAGCTCTTTGAGCAATTTGCCAACTCTGAAATGTTATAAGTAAAGAATATCTAATATACAGAACATGACTATCATCGATGCACCACCATAAAAAATATTTCCAAACTGTTCAAATTTGGATGGAGAAAAAGTAAATGCTTTGATAGAGTTCTATTTATTACTAGTGTTTAATGTTTCTATAAAATATAACATTCAGCTAACACACGCTTATGATTGTAAGTGTCTTATTGTCCCAAAAAAGTCTTGTATATAACAATTTTTCAAAAAGTATGCACCTAACAATTTTCAATCCAAGCACATTTATTTTTCACAATAAAAATTAGAATGTATTATCAATTACAAATCAGTTTACTGTTATCAATTAATAACAAAACATCTAAAGGACAGTAAAAATGTAAAAAATAAGCATTGTCAAGGCATAAAACTTAATACCGCAACACTTATATTAACATACATTTGTAGTGTTAGTTCACAACTCCAATAACTTTCAATATTGCTTGTGTCGGTAGCAAAAGTACAATTCTTTTGCTCATTTTGTCTTTAATTCATTTTTGTAAGGCAGCAAAGTATTATTTAAGTGAAGAATTGTAATATAACACTTGTAGTGATTGTACTTCCGAAAGGCACCAAAAACACATTTTAAAGCGATTTAATCCAGCGTGTACAACTGTTTTATTTGCAGTATTTGAAGTTGTCTACAAAAGAATCATTCAACAAAAAGATTTTCACTGAGCTATTGAGAATGTTAAAATACAAAAACCAACAAACAAAATTAAAAAAAAAAAAAATCAACAAATGTCAACAGGAATATAAATCGTATACAGTAAGGTACAACGTAATGTTTATATATAAATATACGATACTATATGGAGTTATATGTATATACTATACAGTGCTATACATATGAAACTATATCACATTAAAGAAAATAGTAATGAAAATGAAATATTGCTTTCAAAATCTTCTTACCAGTTCAAATAGAAGAAAATTTATTTCCAACTAAACCAAGGCAAATAATTACCCTGGTCTGAATCAAGGTTTTCTATTTACAAAAAAAAAAAAATCTCTTACATTATAATACAGGTAATAATAAAATACACTTTTTTAAAAACGTAAAAATTAAACAAGCCCGTTTTAAAGCTTGCTTTTTAAGAAGTAAGAATGAAACATAATAAAATATATATTTAAATGGCACAAACAGCCTTTCATTCTTTTCTTTTTTTAAATCTACTTTGTATAGTTTATCATCTATCTTTTACTACTGTTTTCATAATATTATTATATTTAATATAATTTAACGCAAGTTTCTTCCTTGGTTAATAATGAATTCACCGTAGTGATAAAGACAAGAACGATGAAGCGTATAAGTTGCAGCTAGACAATAAAAGAGGAAGACTTTCAAATTCACACTATATAATGAGAGTTAATGTAAAAAAATGGGATACAAATGTCTCAACAAGACTGGTGCTTATGTTATCCCAGATTGTTTCATTTTTATTGTTAAAATATAGCAAATAAAAATAAAACCTCATAAAAAGGCAAATCAGTATAAAAATATACTTTTTGATTTACTTTTTCCTTATATTTAGTCTTATTTTGGATTTTAAGTATATGTCTTGACAACATAAACACCTAAATTCCCATTTTTTTTTAAAATAATTTATATACATGTCACACACAGTAGAAAGCTACCTCGAAGATAAATCACTAAGATTAGGAAAATCTATTTGTTCCTTTAGACCTCTGTTTAGAATTATTCTCTTTCTAAAGCATCTAAAACAAGAACCTTTGAATAAATCTATGTTTAGGGTATTCGATCCTTGTAAGTTTTCAAACAGTAAAAGAGTTTTACAGATTTTTTACTGTTGAACACCCGGTTCAAACGTGATACTTTCATTATGAGGGTCATAATGACCAGCGAGATAGTAAATTTCTTGGTTTTCATACACATGGTCCAAGAATTCTGGGTCTTCTTTCATTTTCTCGAGGAAATCCTTCAACGGTACAACCTCGCATTTGTGTGAAATGGTTTGTACATCATTGCAATCATTGTGGGGTGATTCAAAAAGCCCACCCTGAAATTTCATGAGAACTTAGAAATTAAAAAAAAAAAAAAACATATAAGCACGCATATTTATTGTTTCTTAACACTCACAGGATAATTGAGATGTTCTGGTGCACCAATAGCCTCCTCCGGGTGATAAAACCAGGACACTTTCACAGCCATACTATTTTTAATGGTAGCCCATAGTGACTCAATTTTCCCTATAAACGGCCTGTCAGGTCTTCCAGTTGACACAAAAACAGCACAATCGCCAACCTTTAAAACAACTTTATTGTAATATATATATATTTTTTAAATTTAATAAAAGCAATTTTAAAACTTACAGAAATGAGATCATTTCCTCTTTGAATTGATTTATAAAAAATCTTCTTCCCTTTGCCTCGTGGGCCAAGCGCACGTCCTCGTTTCACGCCTTCACCTTTCCAAGCCCACAACTCATGCCTCTCAGGAAGGAATGCAGCGATTTTTGATTTAGATTTGACATTCTTCTTTGCCAATTTCTTCGGTTGAGGATTCTGGAAACATTGTGTATAATTCAATTAATTAACGTTTTAAGTTGAGATAAAAAAGCCAGTGTCACGAGCGGGATTCGAACCCACGACCTTCGGCTTGATACGCCGCTGCTCTACCACTTGAGCTATCGTGACCTCAATCCACTTGGACACTAACCTCCCAACTCAACCACACCTTTTGAATTTTCCCTCCTTTTTGCGCCATTTTTCAAATGTCGTGTAATCAATTTGATTCTCGGTGACAAATGAAATGGCCATGGAGAGCTTCAGTGAAGTATACTTCATTTTAGTTCATTAAATTTACTATTTTTCGTGGTCCGCTTGACCAATTAATATCATTCAATTAATTAAGGTTTTAAGTTGAGATAAAAAAGTCAGTGTCACGAGAGGGATTCAAACCCACGACCTTCAGCTTGATACACCACTACTCTACCACTTGAGCTATCATGACTTCGATCCTCTCAGACACTAACGTCCCAACTTAGTCATGGGTTCGAATCCCGCTCGTGACACTGACTTTTTTATCTCAACTTAAAACCTTAATTAATTGAATGATATTAATTGGTCAAGCGGACCACAAAAAATAGTGAATTGTGTACAATTATTTTCATCAATTCTAGTTTAAAAATATATAAAATAAAATAAATCAAGAAAAGCAACCGTATGCAAAAACATATAAAAATAGGTTTAAAACAACAGAGGTCTCATGTCAACCTACTATGCACTAATTTATGCAATAATTGATACTGTTTTGTATTAGTCTTTAATTTAACTACAAGATATACCAGGCTCCAATTTTGTTCAGAATAAAATTAACTTTTACTTACATTCAATAAACTATAAGAAAAATGTAGACAATATTAAAATGTAATTACTTTAGTAGTATCTTCTTTGGGTATCTTCTTGTCAGGTTGTGTTTTTGCCTCATCAGATTTTGTGGTCTTGTTTCGGTTCTTTTCATCTTTTTCTGTAATGAAAAAAAAATTGGTTAAACCAAAATCAATTAACAAAACTAAATTATCTTATAGACACACTTTTTTTTTTCTAAACGAATTATACATGAATTCCAAAACAACATACATAGTGCACTTCAATTTATAAAATTAATTTACCGATTGAATGTTTACGTTTGTGCTTCCTGTGATGCTTATGCTTACGTTTGTGGTGTGTTCTACAACCGTCTTTGTGTTTATGTTTATGCAGTCTTCCTCCTCTCTCGAGCAGCAAACGCCGCCTCTTCTCTTTTTTGATTCTTTTCCTTTCCTGCTCACTCTGGAAAAAGTCCTATTTAAAATTTCAAAGAGGATAAGTATGGGCGGTTTACTTGATTTACTATGTTGTTTCAATCAATATCAGAAAGTTTCAAACCTCGACAATAGATGAGATAATCGAAGGGAAATTATTATCGACACTTTCCTCATCCAAGTCATTCTCGGCCTTTGGATTTAGACTTTTTTCCGATAATTCTTCCACTTTTTCACTTGTCTTTTCTTGTTTCGGTTTCTTCTTTTTCTTCTTAGGAGGTTTGATAACGTCATCTTGTTCAAAGGGTTTTTCTTTCTTGATTTCAACTGGCTTATCTTCAACAATCTCATTTTGAGTTTTATCTGCTTTCTCTTCAACGGGACCTTTGGGTGAACTTAAATCAGCCTGTTGCTGTAAGATAAACACAAGTTTTAGACACAAATTAAACCAGTGAAGATGCTAAAGTAGTTATGAAAATATTGCTACCTCGTGTGATTTTACATTGCTATCAGCACTAGTTGATGAGTTAAGCCTCTTCCTCTTTCCCAACAAAGATAATGGATTTGGATCGTATTCTAAAAAAACAAGAGCCATTAAGATTCCTTTTATTAAATCACAAACTGCACCTGTTTACCGATTGTTGGATAATCTTGAGGCAAGAGTCTTATGTCGTCTCTATTTATCTTGCCATTATCTCCATCATCGAATTCAACGTTTACAAACTTATCTTCTTTACCACAACTCGAAGACACAGAGCCAGGATACAAGCAGTTGTACTGCTGAGACCAATATGCACATATTCTAGTTCCGGTAGTAAGAGGCGTACCTTCCAGTCTTACTTCCAATATCTTAACAAAACACAAAAAATCAGTCATGCAGTGGCCAAGGAGAAAGGGTTGAACTTTATAATATAATTACAGCGTTGTTTATAAGTTCTTCACTGCACATGATGTGTGGTTTTCTGTGCCTTTCTTTCTCCAAAACGACTTCGTAAATACCTTCAGCTTTGGCCTGAGTTATCTGTCCTGTATAAAAGAGACCTCCTTTGGCCATCATAATGGCGCAAGGAAGCTGATTCAGATGTTCTTCGGCCAATTTACAGTCCGGAGTTTCTAAATAAAATTAGAGTTAATAATTAAATATTACAGAGATTAATGTTTATTAGTTTTATTGGAAAAATAATTACGGTTGTAAGGAGATGGTTTTGGTAACTCAATTTCCTTCTCTTCTTGTTTAGGCTCCACAACCTCAACTTTCGGGACTAGTTTTACTTTTTCGGGAACTTTTTTCTTTTCGACACTTGTCGGTTTTTGTTTTTTGCCCTATTAACATGAAAAAAGGTGTTTTAATAAGCAGATTTGAAAATTAATACAGTATTTACACGATTTTAATTACTTGTTGTTCTGATATCCTCCAAACGGGTTGGATTGGAGTCTTGGGTATTTCCTTGATCTCTACTGGAACTATTTCATCAAGTTCATCATCATCATTGTAGGATTTAACCTTGAATTTAAATATAAGTCAAATTTAAATGTAAGTCAAAATTTTGTTAAATAAATTTATTTGATGTACTTTTGCTTCAGCTTTTAGCTTTGGCCGAATACGGCTTTTTGGAAGATGATCAAGGTCATCATCAGGAACTGCTAGTGGAGGAATAGGTGAATCGAGCTTTTTAACAACGTCTTTCAGTAGTTTCATTTTCTTGATAGGCGGCTTTGCAGGGCTCGAAGGTGTTAATATTGGTGGTTGGAACCTTGATGAAGATTCCGGCTCCTTTAAAAAAAAATTAATCCGTTAAAAAAACATTGCTCAATTTTGTTATAAAATAAGGCATAATGATGCTATACCTCTAAGATTGAGTTTTCAAGACTCTTTCGTTTTTTATGGGGAGTCAGTGTAGGAGGAATGGAGGACACCTTCTGCTTTGGTAGTGCACTCCAAGGTTCCAGAACCGGAGGTAGTTCAATCTTCCTTTTATCCTCTTCTGACTCCTTTATGTCTTCATCATCTTCAACTGAAAGTTTGAATAAATATGAATTGTTACTTATTATTAAATAATAATTAAATAATTAGTTTAATTACCAAATTTAATTATCTTTTTTGGCCTTCCTGGTCTCTTTTTTGGAAGTATTGGAGGTTTAGAAGTTGTATCTGGAGATACTGGCTCAGGAGTAGTAATTTTCTTAATTGCTATTGTAGTTTTTATATCACCTAACGGTGATAGTTGAGGCGGGGGTGTTGGTGTCCTTGATGGGGGTGTGTTTTCTCTTGAAGTCCTTTCCATTTTTACTAATTACAAAAATAAATCATGTGAATCAAACTGACAAATAAGGTATCAGTAGTTCGATTTACCTTTTTTTAGCTTGAGTGGCAAAAACTTTTTAACCGGTTTTGTTACTGTTAACTCGCTTTTCTGCGACAATTTAATAGGTGTGATAGTCGGTTCTAGAGGTTCAGGTTTTGGGCTCAAGCTGGGTGGTGTATCCAAATTTGGAAGGTTGATCTGCGTATTTGTCTCGACTTGTGCATTCAGCGTGCCAGGAGAAGGCGAATCCTCAGTGAAACCATTAAAGAAACCGTGATTGGCCGCTACTTCGCACAACAGGCCAAGTCCTCCACCGTAGTGTCTTTCTGATTCTTGAGAAACTTCATTTTGTTCGGGTGAACTTTGATATTTTTCATGCTGAGCAATACTGTTCGAGAGGAGTTCTAAGCCGCTCAAATCCGGCTCGGTGAGTGAACTGATTTTGAGGAAAGTGTCTTCGGTTTTGACCTGAACAGTTTCTTTCTCACTAAGAGAATCGTCTTCGTTTGTGGATTCCACCTGTCTACCTTCATCTTGTACAGATATTTCCTCATTCTCCTCTTTCACCTTTGTTGGCCCAACTTCTTCATCACTAACTACAGGTGTTTCAGTCTGGTTTGAAGCATCTTGTACTATTGTTTTCAAACTCTCGTCTTCCTCTTCATAAGTGGACTTGGAGTCCTCACTAACATTCGGAGGTGATGTCGCCTAAAAATTATTTAAATAAATTTGTTAATTGAATGTTAAAACAATAAACAATAAATAATTTTTATTATTTTATTATTATTATTATTATTATTCAATTCACTAGTTTCATGGTCCGCTTGACCAATTAATGTATTACAATTAATTAAGGTTTTCAGTTGAGATAAAAAAAATGGCAAAAAGGAGGGCAAATTCAAAAGGTGTGGTTGAGATGGGAAGTCCGAGTGGATCGAGGTCACAATAGCTCAAGTGGTAGAGCAGCGGCGTATCAAGCCGAAGATCGTGGGTTCGAATCCCGCTCGTGCCAATGACTTTTTTATCTCAACTGAAAACCTTAATTAATTGTAATGTTTATTTAATGTTTTTACAGTTGGTTAATAAATAAAATTATTCTATACCTGATCAATGAGGTTATTATCTTGTTCAGTTTTAATTTCCTGTTTGACAATAACAGGGCTTTCAACAGAAGGCAAGACAGGAGTAATATCTTGTCTCATAAAATTGGTTTCTGTGTGATGGTGGCTAATGACCAGACTCGGATGCATATGTTGAAGTAGACCACCCTGTGTACTGAAGCCACCACTTTCCATGCCAATTATTTGTGGGTTTATAACCGTATTTTCAAGATGATTTGATATGACCAAATTCTGGTTTATGAGGCTATGAGCTTCAGCTACTTGTGTGCTCAGCAAGAGAGAGTTGTTGTGGTGGGATGTAGAAGTCGCGAATGGCATCTGCTGAATCAGAACGGAACTGAATTGCTGCGGTGAAAGAGTCGGTTGAAGGACCAGACCCTGTGATCCTCCCTGACCAACCGTAGGAGAACTAGACTTCGTGAGTTCACACGGGAACATGACTCCTGGAATTATTTTAAAATTAAATCCTAAAATCGAACGGGTCTTTAAGTTCAGAATTTACCAGTAACAGGATCATGAATCTGCCTCCTTTTATCTGAAATTTGCTGCTGAGGAGCAAGTGTAACAAGCCTATCTGAAAGAAGAACAGGCTGCGGCTGAGGAGGTGCTTGCATTACCTGCATTGGAGGTGCAACGTTATTCCCCGGCCATACCACTGCCCTCTGCATTCCTCCTTCTAACAAATTTAAGTTTTATAAACAAAAAAGAAAAAAATATTATAGGAGGAAAAAATATTACCTAATCCTGGACCTTGCAAAAGCATGAGTTGCCCACTCACCGGGTCCCTCACAACAAGCTGCTGAATAGGCATGCTTTGATCCATGCCATTTCCTAATATTAAAAATTTAAAATTAGTAATAATAAAAGCTTTATAAATAAAATTTTAAAGTAAATTCAACAAACCAGTTGGAGCAAATTGCCAGTGTGATGGTGCTAAAGGCCATGATGGCACTTGGGTAGTTGTCCTGTCCTGGCATGTCACAACCGCTTAAAAAGAAAACAAAATTAATTTTTAATCTTTAAATTTGCAGATTTTTAAATATTAAATTAAATTACAATTAATTAAGGTTTTTAGTTGAGATAAAAAAGTCAATGGCACAAGCGGGATTCGAACCCACGATCTTCGGCTTGATACGCCGCTGCTCTACCACTTGAGCTATTCTGACCTCGATCCACTCGTGTGGTTGAGATGGGAAGTTGGTGTCTGAGTGGATTGAGGTCACGATAGCTCAAGTGGTAGAGCAGGGGCGTATCAAGCCGAAGATCGTGGGTTTGAATCCCGCTCGTGCCATTTTTATCTCAACTAAAAACCTTAATTAATTGTAATATATTAATTGATGAAGCGGACCATGAAACTAGGGAATTAAAAAAAAATTAAATTTTAATTGTTATAAAACTGATTTTAACAATAAATGTGTAAACACCAGGTTGACAACAATATTTGAAATAATAATTTAGGCTAAGCAATCTCTTATCTGGCAAGATAAAGTTATTTCTGGGAAAATATTTGTTTAGGATTTAAGGGTTGACCTGAAACGAAAAACTTTACATGTCTCAATAAGAAGAAACACTTTGCACCTTATTTCATATGAACAAAAAATAAATATGTAATCCAGATATATTTACATTAACGACAAAATTGTATAAATGTATAATAATATGTGTTGGGTTTTCAAAAGACAAATGTCCTAAATTATATTGTTTTTTTACAATTTAGCAACCCAAAATTATTTAATTAAAAAGAATAAATTAAAAATACTGTTATTTAAGTTTTATTAAATTTAATCATATACCAAGACCAGAGCAAGAAAACTAATGATGATAGAGTGTGTCATATCTATTGTGGGAGGAAGTTAGTAAATTACCTAACTAGCATCCACTGTTGAATTAGTCATATCATTTTATTAAACTATAAATAGTACTGAAAGGACTAAGCCTCTTATGATTTTATAATTTTCTTTTCCAATGACAACGTACCAAATATGATCCGAACAACATTTGCAACGACTTTTTCCCTACTAATATTATTCATAACTGAATATCTAGAATGTCATTTTTTCCTTTTACTTCAATTCATCAGGACAAGAGTTTCTGAATTTGTGGATTTATGATGATTGGGAGTTTATGAAACTTGTAGTATTGTATAAACAAGGCAAACAGAAATTTTCTTTTATTTGTAGCGATGTTTCGGTAACTTTTGGGCAAAGTCGTACTGAACTTTTTTAAAATGAATTTCCAGCAGCCCTGTATTCGAGCCCAGCATACTGACAAATTGTAGCTACCCAAACATTAGGCAGCGTACAAAACAAAAGGAGAAGTGGATAGCGGTGCTAGACATAGTAAACTTTTGATGATACAACCCTCACCGAGACCGCCAAAAATACTGCTGCAATTGGAGAACTCAGAGGAGTGGTAGGACTACTAACCGGTCACTGGCATCTGAGAAAACATCTACACAACATGGGTATATGCAACGATGACCCCATTTGCAGATTATGTAATGAGGAGGAGGAAACATCCACTCATATCATCTTCGAATGCAAAGCAACAGCTCAATGTTGATTTAACCTAACATACGGAAAAAACTTAGGGAATCAAATTGCAGCAGCAACAGTCAACGACCTGATACTTCTAAGAAGAAGGATTGAGTCTATTGACTGAACTAAGGAACTAGGAAGGTACAATAAGGCAGAAGGCTGCAGTGCCTGGGTACAGTACAAACCCCGCTTCCTAGTATCCTTTTCTACTATACCATACTGACAAATTGCTTTTTTACAAAAACACTGGCACCCCAAGGATTTAACACTCATAGGTGAAATACCCTTGTAAAAAGTCTATCTCTTCCAGATTTCCGTTTCCCTTAAAATAACTGCTCTTTGAGTACTAGAGAACTACTGTCCCAAAACCATTGTTACAATTTCTTAAGTACTTCAGAACAAATGTCTTTTTGAGGTGCTCGCTCAATTATTACTGCTTCTATCTAAAATAGGTACCATTTATGATGAAGAAGGTATGCAGCGTGCCGAAACAATTTACTTCTGATCGGTTTACATTGTATAAGACATTATGATTATAATTTATAATTAGTTCATCATAAGCCAGTGGTAAAAGAGAATCTGGTTCTGGTTGAGTTAAGATGGTTTCTTAAACACCGGGGTGAATTAATCCACCTGAATGAACTATTACTAAAAAAAGGACTCAATTGTTGAAATATGCTTGCTCTGTAATTCAATTATTCTTTTATTTTTTATATAATTTAGACTTAATTTGGTGGTAAAAATATTTTAAATCTAGAAAGATGATTTTTTTTAACTAAACACACTATTTCTTGGGTGTATGCCTACAACTCAGTGAAGCAAGAGCCTCTTATTTTGGCAAGAAAAACTGAGGGAAGATAGTCTCTCGTTTCTAACTGGGCAGAGACTGATGTTTGCCCCTTAATTAATCTCCTGGAAAGTGAGATTTGAGTAGTTATCAGATATGTAACATCCTTGCATTGTCTTTGTTTTAAATAAATAATCCCTGCTGTTCATGTATAATAAATTTAAAAAAAAATTAAATCAATCTGGTAATATTCTCTAATAGGACAAATTTACTTTTTAGTTTTGCGCTTTTATATAGTTTTTACTTTTTGTTTAAGTTGCAACAAACTCAGCAGACTGCTAAGCATTGCTTAAAAAATTATAAATTGTAATAAGTGTAAATTTTAATGAAGTTTTATTATTATTATATTGAAAATTAACAAAAAAGTTATTAAGAATGAGGGCTTCGGTGGCCGTAACAGTTTAAGTATGTATATCCAGCTGCCCTACATTCGAACCCGACATAGTTTTCATTTTTGCATATTAATTTTTAATTATTTATTAATGTTAATATTTTTATAATATTTTAATATTTTTATTAATGTTAATTACTATGAATTTTTATATTATTTTATTTGTTTTTAAACACAGACACTCTGAGAGTTGATATTACTTCTGATGTTGCAAACCTTTGTAAAAAATAAATAAATAAACAAAATAAAAAAATAAATGAAAAATATAAGAATAATGTGTGGTGATTAGTGACCGTTAGTCGATGATTATTCGGAAATCGAGAGATGCGGTCTGGTGTGATGTAGGTTTCAGAAAAACATTTTCTTTATCGTGCCAACGTTTCGATCTTTATTGAGATCATCTTCAGAGCCTAGGATTTACAAACATTGTTTACATTTAACAAATACATGTAGGATGTGGAAAAAAGTGAATTAATATGAATTATATGAAATAAGTGAAATATATTTTTTATATTCAATCTAAGTATTTCTACTCACTCAAAGTGTTTGTTTTCTGTGTAATTGTGCCATTTTTGCGTATCGTGATGAGAGTGCCAGTGAGATTTTGCTGCTTTATGTTTATATACGTTGGATTTTGAAGGAAGTCGGTATAGAAAGACATTTTTGTATAAGGAGTCGGCTTCTTTGAGGTGGAAAGAGCCGACGATGGGAAAAACCGTTGGTAATGGTTTGGCCAGATTATCCTTTTAGGATTATATAGACGGGGATAAATAGGAAAAGGAAAGGTAAGGTAAATTGTTCAAAAATTAGACTATGTAAAAATGATTGATGTGTGGAATGTGATGAATGTTTTATGTTTTGTGTGATGTGATGATATTTTCAGCTAAGTCAATATCATTAATCAAAAATTCAATATCGATAACATACAAATATCCCTAACCTTCCACTCGCACGAAAAACCACAATCTTTGACTTGTCAAGGTTCACTGTAAGTTCACTAATTTCGTGGTCCGCTTGACCAATTAATATATTGCAATTAATTAAGGTTTTTAGTTGAGATAAAAGTGGATCGAGGTCACGATAACTGACGTAGTAGAGCAGCGGTGTAGTTAGCCGAAGATCGTGGGTTCGAATCCCTCTCGTGCCATTGACTTTTTTATCTCAACTAAAAACCTTAATTAATTGTTCACTGTAAGGCTCCATTGATCGCAATATTCCTCTAGTTTTTTAATATTTCTTTGCAGGGAAACCGGCGAATCCACAATCAAAACAATGTCGTCGGCGTACATGAGAATTTTAATGACAACACTCCCTATAAGATTGCCAAACTCCAGTACAGATGGAAAGTCATCCAGAAATAGTGCAAACAGATTGGACTAAGGCTACATCCCTGCCTGACCCCCACACCAACATCGAAGAAGTCGGACACACCATCTCTGCCTCTTACTGCAGATGGAGCCGATTCAAACAGTGACTTCAGGACACCAATAATCTTAGTTGAGAACTTCGCATTTAGTAGTTTAAAAATAAGCGCTCTTCTATCGAGTCTGTTAAATGCGGCCTTAAGATCAACGAAGGGTCGTAAACCTTATTAGTCGCTAAATTAATTATATTTATTAGTGTGGACAAGTTGTCAGCTGTAGGATATCCCTTCCTGAACCCCGTTTGATATTCACTCAGTAGATCGTTTCACCTTACATGGACCTGAATTCTCTGCAGTAAAAGTGCTGAGAAGATTTTGGCCACCGAATCAATACAAGAAATTTCCCTATAGTTGGCAACTCACCCTTCTTGTAAACTGGAGAAATGATAGATTTCCCGAATGATGAAGGCACCACCCCAGATTCATAAATAGCGTTAAATAAAGACAATAACTTGATCAAAAAGTAAACACACGCAAGAATGGCACAATTACGCAGAAAACAAACACTTTCAGTGAGTAGAAATACTTTGATTGAATATTAAAAAAATATTATTCAGAAATCGTGAGACGCGGTCTGGTGTGATGTAGGTTTCAGAAAAACATTTTCTTTATCGTGCCAACGTTTCGATCTTTATTGAGATCATCTTCAGGGCTCAATAAAGAACGAAACGTTGGCACGATAAAGAAAATGTTTTTCTGAAACCTATATCACACCAGACCGCATCTCACGATTTCCGAATAATTATCGATTAACGGTCACTAATCACCACCCATAAAAAAATATTTATT